TGACTGGAGTCCGCGGCGAACCGTTCGGGACATCACTAGTTGCCAAGGCAAAGTGATGCTGTGTCTTTAATGCACAGTTCTGTATAAAACAGTGGGGAATGTATGATGGTGTCAAGTAGAAAAAGAACATGGGTGAGGGAGGCCGTGGCCTATATTTAAACAGCGTTATGTTGATATGTAATAGAATGACAAAAAAGGGGCAGGGATACACAAAATGCTTTAAAGTGATGTAAATATATATATATATATATATATATATATATATATATATATCTGTAATGAAAAAGACGTATGATTGGTTGGATCAGTACGTGATTCAACCCGAGAATTTATTGCTTGTAAAAGGAAACTGTATCCTTATGTATGTGTCGTAGTTTATAACACAGAAATGAGGCCTGTAATGTAGGCTGAGTCCATTTGAATGAAATGGATAAGTATGTCAGACCCCTGAAAGCGTGGGAGTTAACCCCTTAAGACCGCCGGGCGTAATTGTACGCTCTCCGGTCTTTTCTTACTTACCCGGTCGCCAGCGGTCCCACGCCGGCAATCGCGGTGGGGGGGACTCCCCGGTGCCCCCCGGCCATGTGAGAGTGAGGTCCTTGCGAGGCCGGGGGTAGCTGCCTCCTGCATTGCCAGCAGGGGGCTGCCTGTAATGACAGGTGGTCCCCCTGCTGGCTGGAAATGAAATTAAAATTAATTAAAAAGTAAAGTGTAAAAAAAAAAATATATATACTTAGATCATAATAAATATATATATATAATATAGCAAAAAGGAAAGAGATGCACTCTCAGGTCTTTGTAAAAAAACTCGATATTATTTAATAACAGGTAACATACATCTGATCGACGTTTCGACCTCTTCATGTCTTCCTCAAGATCCTGATACATTGGTACCAATGTAAGTTTTATTTTTGGGATATATATTGACCATAGCTGTTTTATTTAATCTATCACTCATGTGCATATAGCTGCTCAACACACACATACAGCTTTTGGGGTTTCTCCTTGATCCCTCCCAATTATACTCTGCATTTTTAGTGACTATTCCCTCTTACAGATATCTATCTGTGGTTGAGAGATATTAAGATATTGAGCATTTTTGAGAGCTGTTGTAATAGTGCAGCCACGTACATTATTGATGGCTTTAACGCTTGCAGTAGATCGATAGCACAATTAAATACTAAAACAAGAATGTATATATGTGGCTATATTTGAATTAACATCAATAAATAACTAAATATATGTATGTGGCTATATATTAATATTAATCTAATTAGGCATTTTACATAATATTGTGATATACCCAAACTTCTAAACTTTCTGAATTGTGTTAAGATACAGGAGCAGGTTACTGAATAGTGGAGAAAATGAAATGGTCCTTTCTGAGCACCGTCTTGCGTCAGCAAGACCTGATGATGTCACCCAAAAATTTTTTTCTCCAATCAAATTGTTGGGCGCCCTATTTAAAAGTCTAACCGGCTATTATCAGGTTCCCCTTGAAAAGCCGCCTTACCGGCGAAACGCGCGTCGGGGTTTTTCCTCAATCCCTCCTAATATTATTATACTCTGCATTTGCAGTGATCATTATATGTTTCCTCATAGAAATCTATTCTTTATTCTTTAGTCAATAGATATTTGGACATTGAGGAGATTGGGAGGTGATTTAGTGGTATAGCCGCTCGTATTATCTGTGGCTTTAACGCTTGTAGCAGATTGACAGCCTATAAGATATTACATGAAACTGCTAGCTAGCTAACGCTATTTATATTTTATAAGAGAAGTGCCAGTGTAGGCACAGTTACTTATTACAATAATTTTCGTTTTCTTTCTTTTTTTCTCTCTCTCAATTGCTTGCAGTTAGTTTCTCTTTCTTACAGGTGCCCTCGAAGGCACAGATATATTTCTATCTTTCAATTACATCTATCTTTGGGGTCTACATAGAATGGATTAATTCTGATAGGCAGTATGCTGTATATTATCATTTTATGTATCCAACTCTAACTGCAGCCGTGTAGCGAAATCAGATAGCTTTGTTTAAGCTGTCATATCCTAAGAGCGTTTTTTTGTTTTTTTTTTTATATTATTTTTGTTTATAACCTACAGCAGCAGACGTTTTTTCTTTATTTGCAAAGTCTGAATAAGAACACCTTGTGCATATTGAAAGTATTTTTTTCTTAGCAGACGCTCCTCTTTCTATTTGCAAAAGTCTGTTTTCTGCAACAAAGTATTCCAATACATTGCAACAGTATCACTAGCAGACTGTCGTTTCATGTTCACAAAGTTTAACCAATGTTACTCTGAACATACTCAATTTTAGCAGCAAACGTTTTTGGTTTAGTTGTTAAGTCTGATTAACCATTAAATACCCTAGATACTTTGCAATAGTATTATTACAGTAGACAGTGGCCACTTATTTATCCCTAATTGTCATTCATATTTTTGACAATTAGACACTGTCTGCTTTTGGATTTTTAAATCTTATATTTTCTCATATGATCTTTTTGGGTCTTGAAATATATACATCTAGACCAAATATGATTTTATATGTGAAATAATCACTTTGTATTTTGTTCACTATTAAAATTTAAAACATTTTAAACTATATACTTCCTTGGTAGTGCTTCTCTCTCTTTCCTCAACTATAGCCCTGTGTATGTTTTATAGCCCTGAGTAGGTGGGAGTATACTATATAGCCCTGAGTAGGTGGGAGTATAATATATAGCCCTGTGTATGTTTTATAGCCCTGAGTAGGTGGGAGTATAATATATAGCCCTGTGTATGTTTTATAGCCCTGAGTAGGTGGAAGTATAGGAAATAAAGCATTTAGTTACACAATAGACTAAGCATTATAACAAACCATTTAATGGCATCTGAATTAAACGATGTTTAAATTCTATAACGTACACACATTTAAATCGAATTGCTAAATTTTGGCCAAAAGAGTGTGAGGTTTATCCGGTAATCCCCGCACTTTCTATAGCAATTTCAGTATAGAATAATAAATGACTTTCTGCTAAATGTTTAACAAGAGTCCTTCATATGAATGAGTCTGCGAGGGGCAATGGGCTGCGGTGCTGGTCCGTGGGAATTCCAAATCCCCTCCTAAAAATGGATTCATGTGAGTTTAGTTTTTATCCTAAATTAGGCTGTAACGCTGCTCATATTGGGATTCAGAACTGCGGATGGTTTGGTTTTTGCCGCCATACGTGGAGTTTTGTGTCATTGTTTTGACGTTTCCTTTAGCTGGAGAGTCAGAGCTATGTTTTCTTTTATATACAAGTTTTGCAAAATAAAATTCAAGATTATTCATTAGAGTTAGAATTATTGTGAATTTCAAGGATCACTATAGTGTCAGGAAAACAGTTACTCACCTTATTCTGCCGTCTCCCTCGGCGCTGGTGACCTCTCCTCCCCGTCCGACGTCAGCGGAGCCGAATGCGCACATGCAAAGTGTCCATAAGAGAGCATTTCTCAATGCTTTCCTATGGACGCTCTGCGCGATGGAGTCGAAATGTTCCTCCAGCATCGCAGATGCTTCCCTAGTGGCTGTCTGGAAGACTGACCGAGTAGCTCACAAAAAGACACGGCCCCTTGACAATCACCACAGATTAGTTGCTACAGGACCTCTTAAAACATGAGCTTTGTGATAAATGCAAATTAAATCCGGAATATAAAATAACAACCCTTTAAAGATTGTAGACAGAGTTTGACTGTGAATTGGATGTTAATATGGGTATACACTGACTCTCTGTCTAGATCCAATATCTCCTCTGGAACCTTGACTTAATCACACAGTGATGTTACAAAGAAATTGAGATTAATCACTAACTGACTGCAAATCCCTTTCTAATTCACTTGGCCTAAAATCTAGTTCGATTGAAATATTACAAACGATCTGTATAACAGTCAGATATTTAAGATGATTCATTCCCTTTTTTAAATCACTATAACTCAGTTTTGGCACGTTTAAATCACAGTGTGGTTTTTTTTCCCCTTATATGTTTGTATACGGTTTAGTATCATACAAAACATTGCTTTTATGGTATTTGGAATGCCTAATAAATATTAATCATTTTTTTATGGTGGTAACATTCTAAGATATGATCCCTTTTACCCTTTGTGTCATTTCACCCCACTCCCTCTAGAATGTAAGCTCACTGAGCAGGGCCCTCCACCTCTCTGTTCCTGTACGTTGAGTTGTCTGGTTACAATTACATGTCTGTTAGTCCACCCTTTGTACAGCGCTACGGAATCTGATGGCGCTATATAAATAATAATAAAATAATAATCCCCTTTCTTGGATCCCACATTCCCAGCCTGCGCTACGGGATCCAGGATCCCACATCCCCCGCCTGCGCTACGGGATCCCACATGCCCCGCCTGCGCTACGGGATCCCGGATCCCACATGCCCCGCCTGCGCTACGGGATCCCGGATCCCGCATGCCCCGGCCTGCGCTACGGGATCCCGGATCCCGCATGCCCCGGCCTGCGCTACGGGGTCCCACATCCCCAACCTAGTGCCTGAGCCAAGCCAACGAAACACTAAGTCAGTGAGCCGAGGCAGAACAAACTCTAAGTCAGGGCCGAGCTGGGTCTGATACACAGGAACAAGGAACATTGAATTAGCCATCAGGATAACGGGCAAGCTGGATCAAAAAGCAAATGACTAATACTGAGAATGGGGGAAGGCAGCCCAGTTCTAGCCTGTCTGAGTGACTGTCTGTTTATCCCCCAATTATGAAAATTCTTAGTTTATGAAAGTGACAATTCCAAAAGAAATGTCACCAAACACGGCTAAAAGAAATGCGGCTCCTTTAAACAGCGTCTTTTACGTGTTTCTCGGCCTCTTGTGTGCTACATGTCATGGGAAATGACAAAGGAATTATTACTTTATTCTATTTTGGTTTAAAATGTGGATTTGTTTAGTCTGATCTCTTACATTCTATTAGGAACTTTCAGTTTTTGGTCCATGAAAGTATTTCACACAACACCATGAGCGTCCTATAAAGGTAAATATTTATTATCTATATTATTACAATAAAATCTGTTCTGGATGCATGTGATTAGTGCGTGAGAAGCTAGCTGTCCATTTCCAATTCAACATAAAGTTCCTTAAAGGGACCCTAATCTTTTTTCCCCGGGTAGCGGAGAGCTTATTGGGTTCGAGATGCAGACCTATTCTATTGTACATATTCATTCTTAAGAACAGACAGATTAAGCAGATATCCAGTTCTGTGTAATTACTACTTTAATTATTTTGTCCTAAAATGGTCAGTTTCCAATTTAGCAAATAACTCCCGCCCCACCCCCTGTAAATGATTTCATTCCTATTTGAATATCTGCCTCTCCTAGCTTATGAAATAACATTGACTAATGTAAACTGGGGCTTTTACCAAAGTCTTAAGAGCGAGTTTATATGAGAAAGCAATGAACAGCGATCCCAAGTAGATTCCGGGAGATTGATGAAGAGTCACTTCTTGTTTCTTTCGGACATTATTGCCAATCAAATCATACAGCTTCCAAAACAAAAATATATCTATCCCTGTGACTTCTGGCCATTGTTCAGTCTACCATATCTTCACAGTGCTACGTGGCAGTGTTTGAGGTTTTAATGTTTTATCCTAAAAAGGAGCATTAAGTTTTCTTTGGAAATGCTAAAAATACCCTCTTTAGTTAGAGTGCCCATACACTCGAGGTCCAAACCTGAGTCTTTCCAACCTGAGGTTCTGCTAGGATGTTACTGAGTCAACAGGTACTCTCCATAACCCAAGAGCCATATGTTGGGTTCCAAAGGTTTTTGGTTTTGTTTTTTAGTTTTTGTGCCCCCTGGGGCTTTGTCTCTGTGGTGGAGATTGGAGACGATGGAATCCACGACTCTTCTGTAGATTCTGTAATGCATTGTAGGTTCGGAGACCTGATGTTCCAACCCACCAAATTGTCCACCAGTAACTCCTGAGGAAAGTCTCCAAGTTGATGTTCCTTGGTCTGTGTATCCAAAAGAGGAGGGTTGCTTACAAGAGGTGTCAAGCCATTGCAGCTGTTGGACCTCATTATTGTGTTTCCTTCATCTTCCGAGGTCGGGCCACTCTCTACCGGGAGCTCTGTATTTATCACATCTGGATCCTGCAACATGCCATAAACAGAACGTAAGTGACCCCAACCCATTGTGAAATGCAAGCTCGAAAATAGTGTTGTTTTTTTTAGGAGCATCTGCCTATCCAGGGACTTGCATTACGATAAAAGCAGGTTAGCTTTTTGTGGGTTTTATTTTTTGGGACAGGGATTCTGGTTATTCTTTTAATAAATGCTTTTATCTGACTTCTCTGATATTAAGTCTAATTAACAATAACTTCTTTGTAAAATGCCTTCAATAAATGTAGTAAAATTCCATATCCTTTCTAGTTTAGATTAAGAGTTAACATAATCTTTTTTAGCCAAACTTTAAAGGAACACTAGAGGGTTAAGAATACAAATGTGTATTCCTGACCCTACAGTGTTAAAAATATTTCTTAACCCCCCCAGCCCCTCCCCTACCACTCTTATATAGTGTTAAAACTTGCCTTTTATTCCAGCGCCAGGGGTAAGATGATAGTATTGGCCCTGCCCCTGATCTGCCTTCTTGGCTGAGATCCTCAGAATTGATGATCTCAGCCAATCCAATGTTTTCTGGATGATCTCAGTCTAGGAGGTAGGGGACGGAGCCAGACACTGCACTGGCCAATCAGCATCAAAGTTGCATCTCCATGCAGAGGGTTGTGCAGCACCTCAAGTGGCTATCTGAGTGTTGCCTAGGGACACCTCCAGTGCCATTCAATGTAAACACTGCCTTTTCTCTGAACTGTCTGGTACTGTCATATTTAAGGGTACCAAATTTGGGAGACAACCGTGTTTAGAAGATGGCTCCCTATTTGTTATCCTTAAATATGGAAACCCTATGTGAAAGGTACTAGGTTTAGGAGCTATCTGCTAAACAGCTGTGATAACTAACTTATATCCCTTTCTACTGAAAAACCAAAGAAAAGGGTACTTGTTCGTTGTTCTTCTGTTGAGTAGATAGATCCATAATTTGAAATCCTTTATGTGGGATGGTCTTATTTAAGGGACCACTAAAGGCACCTAGACGACTTTTTACTTTAATGAAATGGTCAGGGTGCAGATGTCCTGACATTTAACCCTTTATTCACTTTAAAACATTGCCATTTAGTAGACACAGCAATGTTCTCATTAAAGGGTTAAATACACCTCGTGGCAATGTTCCAGACGGCTACTAGAGGCGATTCTTCCTCTAGAAACCAGTCAAACGAATGCTGCTCGTGGGATTATCTGATTTAGAGAGCCCTGCATTTTGCTGAGCATGTAGCTTGTGCCCAGTGATTCTCTGAGAAGAATTAGATTGGAAGAGCAGGCATAGTGACATAGGTGGAGCAGAGGTGTATCGGCGCTGGACATGAGGCAAGAAATCTTTATTAAACTAAAGGGAGGTGGACAAAGGTCATAGGAACAGAATCCAAAATTCAGGGCTTTCTGTCCTTCAATGTGACTAAACAAAAAAAAATTTAGAACAATGACTACTAAAACGTAACTTATTTCACACTAAAGAAATGTGTGGGAAAGCGTAATAATTGGCTTCTAGTCATATTAAAAGCACCTGCTATAGTTATGCAGGATAACGCCTAATTTCTTGACATTAATTAAAACTGTGTGTGTATCCAAGTAACCGTAATGATAACCCAATTCCCTTTCACTGAGAGCCTCCGATATTCTGGAGAGGTTATCTAATAACGAGGACTGAGATCCCTTACTCCGATATTGATAATTGTAACGGATCGAAGGGCACCCCGACTGGGTACCTCCGTTGAAGGATGCTCTTAGCGCTTCCTGTAGGCTCCAAGCACTCCAGCAGACACCATAACCACCGTAGACTCCTTCAGCGAGCAAATCAGGAACAAGCTCTTAAAAGAACTTACGAGTGATAATAGCAAGAGAGTATGACTAGCATAGCAATCCCTTGTAGCAGATTCCCCCAATAAGAGACGGCACTCCAAATTGAGGGTGAAGTAGAACTGATTTACTGGGGCTACCTGCCCGGCTTTTATGCAGGTCTCCCACCTGGTGGACACCCACCTAGGGGACCAGATGGAAGACTGGGAAACATATTGGACATTGACCGATCACAACCTTACAATCCCACAATGCATCACAATCCCTCCTCTCTGTCCTGGAGATAATTGGGAAGTAATCCAATTATCTCCAAGGACAGAGGCAAAACTCCATTAACCACGTGGCAGACAAAGGACAATAAAAGACATAAAAATACATACTGTTACATTTATCACATAGAACATACACATTCTACCTGTCCCCAGATAGCTTAGATCTGAGCGCACATTATTACCGGATGGCGCTCAGATCACATCCATACAGTTCAATCGCCATGGAGCCAAAGTCTTTCCCATAGTCTTTCGGTATACAAATGGGCTCCATGGCTTAGCTATCTGGGGTAACACTGCTCACATAGGGAAAATAAAAGGTTTTTAATGCAGGGCCATAGTCCAGGGGCAAGAGGTGGGCTCCTCCAGTGGCGAGGTTGGTTCCGCCACATTTCTCCCCTTTACCAATCAGACTAACATGGTATCTGACCTCCTGTAGGTCAGTGCCCTGGTTAGTCCAGCAACCCACCCACAGAACACAATCAGCAGTACAGCCCACCCACAATAAAGGGTTACTACACCTGGGGAAATGAGGAGCTTGCCTTTGTCCAGGTGCTGCTATTCCGGGTCGGTGGGTTGCTGAGTGGGCAGAGACCAGCGGTACTCTGCCCTGGTGCCAGCGCTATAACGGGAGTAGCCTGGTTGGAGCCCCGCTGAGGAGAAGCGGTAGTAGGCTGCCCTCTCTGGATCTGGTGCTGCTGCTGTAGGGGGAGACCGACTGTCTCCCCTTTGGGCAACCAGTCCTGCTGCTGGGGGACAGGACCGACCGTCCCTACCCCCTGTGGTTTGGGCACAGAGACTACGGTCCCATCTGCACCGGTGTGGGGCTTATCTCCCCCCCCCCTTGTGGGCTAGGCTGCCACTGGGGAGAGGGGGTAACAAGCTCCTCTCCCATACATACTTTCAGCCGCTGGGGAGAGGGGATAACAAGCTCCTCTCCCTGACACTCTTTCTGCTCGTGGAGAGGGGAAACGACTGTCTCCCCTTTTGATATATTGTCCCGCTGCTGGGGAGCGAGACCAACTGTGTCTCTGCTCCCTGTAACACACACTGCCGCTGGGGAGGAAGGACGGCACCTTCGGCTCCCTGTAAACCCACAGCCACTGGGGAGGAAGGATGGCACCTTCGGCTCCCTGTAACACACACTGTCGCTGGGGAGGAAGGACGGCACCTTTGTCTCCCTGTAATTCCCTTGACTGCTGGGGAGAGTGACCAACTGTCTCCTCTCCTAAGGACACACACTGCCGCTGGTGAGGAAGGACGGCACCTTCGTCTCCCTGTAACTCACTTGGCCGTTGGGGTCTCTCCCCCCTGGCCAACTCTGCTAGGAATTGCAGATACTCTCCTATTATTTTCTTGACGTGCTGCACGGACCTCTATGAGGGGTTGGGTCCATAGACCGCCAGCACCGCATTAACCTCTCTGTCAAACTGCTCCTGAGTGTAGCCGGGCGCCATGCTTGCTCTGCCGAAGTTGGTTACTTTGTAGATAGGGGTGCTGTACGGGTACTAGCTTTGCCCTCAATTTGTAATCCAGGAACTGGTGTTGTCTTGTAGCTGTCATTCTGGGCTATGGGAATGATCCCACCTCTGCCACCAATGTAACAGATCGACGGGCACCCCGACTGGGTACCTCCGTTGAAGGATGCTCCTAGCGTTTCCTGTAGGCTCCAAGCACTCCAGAAGACACCATAACCACCGTAGACTCCTTCAGCGAGCAAATCAGGAACAAGCTCTTAAAAGAACTTATTAGTGATTATAGCAAGAGAGTATGACTAGCATAGCAATCCCTTGTAGCAGATTCCCCCAATAAGAGACGGCACTCCAAATGGAGGGTGAAGTAGAACTGATTTACTGGGGCTACCTGCCCGGCTTTTATGCAGGTCTCCCACCTGGTGGACACTCCCCTAGGGGACCAGATGGAAGACTGGGACACATATTGGACACTGACCGATCACAAGCTTACAATCCCACAATGCATCACAATCCCTCCTCTCTGTCCTGGAGAAAATTGGGAAGTAATCCAATTATCTCCAAGGACCGAGGCAAAACTCCATTAAGCACATGGCAGACAAAGGACAATAAAAGACATAAAAATACATACTGTTACATTTATCACATAGAACATACACATTCTACCTATCCCCAGATAGCTTAGATCTGAGCGCACATTACTACCGGATGGCGCTCAGATCACATGCATACAGTTCAATTGCCATGGAGCCAAAGTCTTTCCCATAGTCTTTCATTATACGAATGGGCTCCATGGCTTAGCTATCTGGAGTAACACTGCTCACATAGGGAAAATAAAAGGTTTTTAATGCAGGGCCAGCAGCAAGAGGTGGGCAACCAGGCTCCTCCAGTGGCGAGGTTGGTTCCGCCACAATAATCTATTGAAATAATAATTTGGGGACCATTAAAAGCATTGATCCTAGTATGTCTGTTTTATAGTGACCCCTAGTGACTAGAGGAGGGTAATACACTAATAGGAAATCATTCTGGATTGGGAGTTCTGGCGACCTCTTCAGGCCTTAGACTTGTATTACAAACCCCATTATACAGACTCTGCATTTGGCTTTATATATATTGATGCACACATTGTATTGCTAATAGTATTATTCTTTGTTTATGGTTAGTGTATTCACACAATATAATATTGAGAATACTGTGACCCTTAATTATTATTTCAATCGATTATCAATATCGGAGTAAGGGCTCTCAGTCCTCGTTATTAGATAACCTCTCCAGACTATCGGAGGCTCTCAGTGAAAGGGAATTGGGTTATCGTTACGGTTACTTGGATACACATACAGTTTTAATTAATGTATAGAAATTAGGAATTATTTTGCATAACTATAGCAGGTGCTTTTAATATGACTAGAAGTCAACATCCTCTTCCCCACATATTTTAGTGTGAAATAATTATTTTATTATTTATATGGCGCCAGCAAATTCCGTAGCGCTGTACAATGGGAAATAAAAGTTACGTTTTAGTAGTCCATTGGTTATTTTCGTGACTATAAATTCCCTTTAAGGATACCAAATTAGGGAGTTCTCTACTAAACTGCTAAAAGAGCAAAATAAGGGAAAGCCTTTATTCCATTTGATCTTTCAGCTGTTTAGTAGAGAACTCCCTAAATAAAATGAGTGTTCTTCTATGGGATTGCCAAACTAGAGAGATTTACTAAACCCCAAAGCTCCCTAATTTGTAATCGATTTTAATGAATTTAGAAGAATTGTGTTCACTAGTCTATTCTTTCATTGTGCCATTCAGAATTCGAATGAATGAGACAATTTTGCCCAAGTCTACAAAATATTCAAAAAAAAAAATTTTCCCCACGGATTTTCCTCTTCCTATTGTCTGTATTAGGGGAGGCTTAATTTCCTGTTTTTGCCAAGAAATATTGTTTGCAATTAAAATCAAATGACTTTATTATTAATTGAAGCTGCATTTCCCTTTTTGGAACAATGCTTTATAAGGGATTCTGCTAGTACAGTGTAGTCAGTGGGTATTTCGGTCAGAAACCCATCCCGTCACTGTTTGGTATATTTTATTCACACAACCTCCAAACAACTTACTGTTTAAAGAACAATCTATGGTTCATTCAACCTTATCCCTTTACTATTGAAAAGGAAAAAAGAACCATGGGCCAACAAATGGTACCAGCTGAATTATGGAAGAAAGGTTTAATGTAACGAATAGAACTTGGCTTTTATTAAATCTGTAAAAGCAGTCAAAGACACTCAGAATATAAATACACATGTCAATCAATTGATATTAAATCAGGAACGGGTGAATAGAGTTGTATCGGGATATAAGGACGCTATGAACGTACAAAATGGACAATGTATGTATAGTATCTGTGTAGAGGCTAGGATACAAATAAGAAGTATAGTCAAAGGGTAAAATAAAGGAGTGTGTGTATACACTAAATACAATGCTATGCTGGATAGCCAAAACTATCTTCTATCCACTGGCTAGAACCTAGACTCGGTTACAAGGAATTGTTTAAGTTACGTTCCCAAAAACATGGTAAAAAAAAGTGTAAATAGATCACAATAGATTCAAGTGTTGTGCTCAAATCATACTTAACATCAAATCTGTAGTAATTTCTAAAAAAAAAAAAAAAATACAACAGAATATCCTTATTAAACTACTTATATACATTCATATGCATTTAATACAACTATTAAATATTCACATTTATGCCCTGATTTGCATTCTTTACATTATTCTGCTGTACAGTATAGATAAAGGGGGATTATAACCTAAATGTCTCTAATTTTCAGTTTATATAGATCTCTTAAAGCAGCAATTATGTCTATATAAAAATCTATTTCAGGGTAAATACATGTTAAGTTACCTAAAATTTCATAAATTCTTTAAAGAATAATAATTAACATTCTTAAAGAGCATTATCTACTAAATTCATTTCTTATTGTAGGAGATTGTAAAACATTATGAATAGTAATATGAGATTAAAAATCAGACACAATATATCATAAAATAATATACTATTCAATCCTATGGAAATTTCACACACAGAGATCCAAAAATAAATATAGACAGATCAATAATAAAGATTAAAAATTAAAATAAATAGAAAACATTCGACATTGGTAAAAACTGACATCGTTCTAAATCTCGATTTAACCCTCTAGGGAACAGTGACTTGCGTTTAAAAATCCACCTCATGACTTGTTGCAATAGCGTTTTATCATAATCACCTCCCCTCCAAACGCTATTCCTAATAATTCTCAACTACTGGGGTCTCCCTGCTGAAATTTGATAAAATGTAAAGGTAGTGAAAGTTCCTTAAAACCTCTTAATGTTCTTCACATGTTCCTCAATGCGGATATGTATCTGTCTCGTGGTTTTACCTACATATTGAAACTTGCAGGGACAAGTTAAAACCTAAATACAGATTTTTGTTTGGACGTAATTAATTGTATAATTGTATAATTTTATATTTTTGATTTGTAGATCCACTTTATTTACTTAACTGATTCCAGCACCGATGTCCCTCGGCGCCTGGTTGTCGCTCTGCCCCCTCCTCCGTCCCCCAACGAGCAGGGTCTAATGCGCATGTGCGGCAAATGCCTCGCGCGTTAGATGACGACCCCCCCATAGTAAAGCATTGAATCAACGCTTTCCTATGGAGAAAAAAATCAGATGCTGGACGTCCTCACGCTCTGCAACCAAAGGTCCGTTTCAATTCAGGGCAGACTTAGCTCTGCAATATAAACATTGCAGTTTCTCTGGAACTCCGTGTTTAATAGGGCAGCACTAAGGACAATAGGGACACTGCACCCAGACCAATGAGCTGAAGTGGTTTGGGTGCCTATAGTGTCCCTTTAACCTCTTAAGGACCAAACTTCTGGAATAAAAGGGAATCATGACATGTCACACATCATGTGTCCTTAAACAGTGACATAGGCTTTTTTTTAAATGTGGATACTGTTTGGCTTTAAGGAGCACTTTAGCGCGGAAAAGTATACCGAGATAATTTTTAAGCGGATCTACAAATTAAAAATATAAAATTATACAATTAATTACGTCCAAACATCTGTATTTATGTTTTAACTTGTCCCTGCAAGTTTCAATATGTAGGTAAAACCACGAGACAGATACATATCCGCATTGAGGAACATGTGAAGAACATTAAGAGGTTTTAAGGAACTTTCACTACCTTTATATTTTATCAAATTTCAGCAGGGAGACCCCAGTAGTTGAGAATTATTAAGAATAGCGTTTGGAGGGGAGGTGATTATGATAAAACGCTATTGCAACAAGTCATGGGGTGGATTTTTAAACGCAAGTCACTGTTCCCTAGAGGGTTAAATCGAGATTTAGAACGATGTCAGTTTTTACCAATGTCGAATGTTTTCTATTTATTTTAATCTTTATGGAGTATTATTGATCTGTCTATATTTATTTTTGGATCTCTGTGTGTGAAATTTCCATAGGATTGAATAGTATATTATTTTATGATATATTGTGTCTGATTTTTAATCATATATGCCTATTCATAATGTTTTACAATAAAGAATTTATGAAATTTTAGGTAACTTAACATGTATTTACCCTGAAATAGATTTTTATATAGACATAATTGCTGCTTTAAGAGATCTATATAAACTGAAAATGAGAGACATTTAGGTTATAATCCCCCTTTATCTATACTGTACAGCAGAATAATGTACAGAATGCAAATCAGGGCATAAATGTGAATATTTAATAGTTGTATTAAATGCATATGTATATATAAGGACTGATAACATCAATATAAAGAACTGCACATGATTCCTATTAAGACGGTGAAGTTGCAGAACGTATTTTAACCAATAGAACAGGCATAGGCAACCTTTGGCACTCCAGATGTTTTGGACTACACCTTCCATGATTCTTTGCCAGCATTATAGGTGTAAGAGCATTATGGGGGATGTAGTCCACATCATCTGCAGTGCCGAAGGTTGCCTATCCGTGCAATAGAAGAACATCAGAGGCGGAGTTAAGAGACTTAAATGCCGGAGGAGGGAGAGTTGGGCATTGTCTGATGAAGCCCGAAGTAAGAGGTGCATGAAACACATCCCTGAAATGTCATCGGGAGGTGGCTTAAAACCAGAAGTAAATGCTAAAAGCTATCTGCTTGGGTGCGGGATTCCTGCTTGGGTGTGCCCACCAATGCTGGATGTAAGCAGTTTTAATTGTTTTACTGCGCCATTGAGGTCCCTACAGCTACTATCTTAAAAAGATTGGAATCCACAGTCTGGCTGCCTGAGCGGTAAGGGAGTGATTTCCTTTCTCACCCAGAGCCAGGGTTGATAGGGCTCTGGTACATGTGAGTATAACCCCCGCATACATGTACTTATATAACATTATTTAATTATAAGGATAATCTGCACTATAATGTATTTGTTATATTTTTTTACAGAATTTACTACAAATTTGATGTTAAGTATGATTTGAGCACAACACTTGAATCTATTGTGATCTATTTACACTTTTTCTAACCATGTTTGTGGGAACGTCACCTAAACAATTCCTTGTAACCGTGTCTAGGTTCTAGCCAGTGGATAGAAGATAGTTTTGGTTATCCAGCATACTGTATTTAGTGTATACACACACTCCTTTATTTTACCCTTCGACTATACTTCTTATTTGTGTTATTTGTCACTTTAGGTGATTGCTGCTTAAGTTCATCACTATATACTGTATTTTCTGGCGTATAAGATGACTTTTTAACCCTGGAAAATCTTCTCCAAAGTCGGGGGTCGTCTTATACGCCGGGTATAGGGTCTATATGGCTGCCGGGGGCGCCCTGCGCCCCCATCGCCGGCCCTTCTAATGCTGCAGCCACCTGAGCGCTCTATAGAGAGCGCTCAGATAGCTGCCGCACTACCTCTCTTCTCACCTCCCCTTCCCTGTGCAGAGTGGGTGGCTGAGCTCCTCTTCGTCCTGTCGGTCTGGCCGGGTACCGCGCGTTACAGGAGATTCAGTTATCTGTTACCGGCCGGACTGAAAGGAAGTGCACACTGAGTGCTCACTTCCTTTCAGTCCGGCCGGTAACAGATAACTGAATCTCCTGTAACGCGCGGTACCCGGCCAGACTGACAGGAGGAAGAGGAGCTCGGCCACCCACTCTGCACAGGGAAGGGGAGAAGAATGTAGGGAGGAATGGAGGGGGGGGAAAGAATATATCGCAATTAGCCTCCTGTGTACTAGACCAGCAGGCATGGATTATATTTCCAAACAGCCTGGCACATACCTGGGCTTTAAATGCTATTTCAGATTATCATTATTTAATGTCTTGCTGTGTAGCTCTGTCTGCTCACTGTACATCATGGCTAATTTTTATTTGGTGTGCATTGGAAGAGGGGTAGTCTTATACGGCGAGTATATCCCAAACTCTATATTTTAACTGCAAAAGTTGGGGGTCGTCTTATACGCCGGAAAATACGTTATATAATTTTCTTTTTTATATCTTAAAGCACTATCCACATTTTGGGTTGTTAATGCCACTACATGATTACAAATTGCTACGCTTCACTTAACCCCTAAACTGATTCAGAAATTTGCATAAATGACAGCAATAAATCCATTTGCAAAACAAATCCCTAATATAGAACCGTTAGCATTGACCCTAATTAAACCCTCGAACGTCGTTCATAGGGTCCTTCTATCCTGATACAATCCTATTCAACTGTTCCTGATTTAATATTATTTGGTTCACGTGTGTTTATATCCTGAGTGTTTTGACTGTTTTTATTTTTCTAATAAAAGCCAAATTCTATTCGTTACATTAAATCTTTCTCCCATAATTCCTCTGGTGCCATTAAGTTGTTGGCCCATGGTTCTTTTTTCCTCCTTTATATTTGTATCTGGGTTACCCCCCACCTTGGGAGTTACGTTTGGCGACTTTGCTTTGTGGCGGTTGTCAGCCATTCCCTACTTTTTATGTTGATTGACCACCTCCTCAATTCTAGTTAGATGTTTTGACACTTTTAGCTTTTACGGCTGTGAAACAATAAGTGAAATGCATGATATTCACCTCCACTCTGACAAAGTTGATATATTTTGTTGACACTAAAAAAACCAACCTAGGAAAATCCTGAATTCATAAAGTTTCATTTGGCTCAGTGTGTGGCAAACATAATACCCTCATACCTGTGTGCAATATATGATCCTCTCCATGATGGTTGAGAAGTTGGGACGATGATCTGGCGTATGCTGCCAACATTGTGTCATTATCCGATAGCTTATAAGAAAAAGAGACACAGACAGTAGTTAGTGCTATAGATTCTGCATTCTTATAAAGCACTAGAGTTATGTAAAAATTAATTTATCATCTCCTTAGACAAGACAATGTTTCATCGGTTTGGCACGAGGATGACTGAAAACTGTCAGAACGTTGCCTGTTGTAATGATGAAGGGAACATTTAAGGCTGGGTGGTCCCCTATATATTTGGATCTGTTGGACAGTTTCGGCGGATCTTCGACCTCACAAAACGTTGCGTAGAATTGATCCTATATTCGTACAGGCCACGTGTGTAAAATATTTAAATTCTAGAGTACTAGACAAAAAAAATTAACTGTGAGAATTCAGAACTAACAAAATAGTGTAAATTGACCCCAATACTCACACAGGCCCCGGGCACTTTTTCGGGGGATCCATACGTCCCCCACTTGTAACAAACTCTAGAACTTCTTGGTTGGTTTTACATGGATACGGCATGTAACCCAGCGAGAAGATCTCCCATAGGAGCACCCCGAAGGACCTGCCAAAAAACCACATGCTGGAGGTTAGTCACGGAGTTACTATGTATTTATACAACATGTTCTATTACAGCACAATGGGGACTTATAGAGCAGGCGGGTTGTGGTACGTCTTGTAATGGTTATTTTATAATTCTCCTCGAGGAAATGGCTGTTAATCTACATGTTATTGCCCGGTTTGATTGCGTTCTCCTTCACGCGAGCAGCTGTGTTCTGTTTAAACATATCAGAGAACTGGAAGTCTTACGGCCTGTGATGGTTTCGCTAATTAGACAGTAACATCATAAAGATACACAGGAAACCCCCTCTCGCCCCTCATTTTTATACTAAGCCTAGAACCTCTAATTCGGCTAATAAATCACGACCCAGTAGTACAAGGACTCCACACTCCAGGTGGTAATAAAAAACTGGCACTTTTCGCGGACGACGTTTTAGTGAGTAGAATCCTCACTACCACAACTCATACACAGGCTCGACACATATGGACGGGTATCTTACTATAGGAACAACACGACGAAGACACAAGCATTGCCTATAAATTTACCGAGCACTATCGTCACAACGCTACAAGCACAACACACCTTTGACTGGCGCAAAACCTCTCTAAAATACTTGGGGATCAATCTCACAAAGTCCACTCAGACCACCATACGGGAAAACCATTATCCGGTCATACAAAAACTAAGAACCACACTAGAGAAATGGGAAGGACTCGAGGTGTCCTGGTTGGGCCGCATCAACCTTATTAAAATGATGGCGCTGCCGCACATACTGTACCTGTTTAGAACCTTGCCCATCGCCCTCCCCACCAAACTTTTAAAACTCTTCCAAAGCACAATAAACGCACATGTATGGAAACGGAAGCCCCCGAGAGTGGCAAGGGGAGTGCTGGGGCTCCTAGGCACCAGTGGGGGGCTGGGCATGCCCGATATCAAGGCTTACTATAAGGCAACCGCTTTAGCGCAGGGACTCAGGCTCTTACGCTCCGTGAACACCACCCGTAAGCCCATCTGGCTAGAAATGGAAAGCGCCTGCCTGGCCACCCGCGACTTGTCACGGAACTTATGGGTAGGGGGACACCCCCAGTTTATGGGGGGGAAACAACTGCAGAGTTCACAGTTTCTTTTAAGGGCATGGAATAACTGGAGCTCTTGCATAGTGAACCCCAAAGAGCTCTTTTTAGCAGCACCCTTGGAAACACTAGAAATACTATCCCCAGACATGTCAATGGGCCGATGGAAAGGGAGGGGCGAATCCCGGGTCCAAGACATACTAGAAGGGGACAAAATTAAGCAATTCCCCATCCTGCAAAGGGAATTACAGCTACCAGTGAGGGATATCTTTTCAATACCTTTGAATAAAAAAAATATAGTGCACTCGCATATCCAACTCTGCACCACCCACTCCTCCAAACCCCACATAACGCTTAAACAGGCACTCTTCCACAAGCAAATCAAACCGCTTTCAGCATGCTACAACGCACTAATCACTTCGGCGGCCCCCGATAAACCTACATATATGAATCTGTGGGAGGAGGACTTGGGACTCCAAATCCCCAAGACAGAGTGGCTAACGGCTCTGGAAACCACGAAAAAAGCATCGCAAAGCCTCACACTCTGGGAAGCGTACTGCAAGGTGCTAATGAGGTGGTACTTGGTGCCACACAGACTGGCACGCATGTACCCGGGCACGTCCGGGAAGTGTTGGAGATGCAACATAGAAGAGGGAACCATGTTCCATATTTTCTGGACGTGCCCTCTACTGACTGATTACTGGGAGAAGGTCCATCTGCTCCTACTAGGCAGGACGGGTATCACTCTCCCCAAGAAGCCGGAACACTACATACTTCACATAGCACCCAGTGTGGTCACTCACCCTCATAGGAAAGTAGCGCTAAACATTCTAACGGTAGCAAAAATTGTGCTGGCCAGCAACTGGAAGAGCAACAAAATCCCAGCAGTAGAGGCTATAACACAAAAAATGGATACGATTAGCGCATATGAAAAAATGGCCAATAGAGTAAACGGTAGCAGTGTGAGATACGACAGGGAGTGGAGTTGCTGGCCAGCGGGTTCTTAGGCAGTAGAACAGGAGCCGCAGTATGGTGACGCCTACACTGACATGGAGCAAGGATCAGTTGGGAGCAGTGACAAGTTTACAAATGGTTGTACAGGATTTTATCACCATATGTATAAAGTGTTGTCTAGGGCACCCACCCCCCCCTCCCCTTCTTTCTTTCTGTATCCCCCCCCCTATCCAAATTCTTGTTATAAAAATAAATGAAACAGGGATAGCTTGTCAGACGTGCATTACAGGCAGCAATTCCACCCGCACCGAACCAACACAAAAGGACACTAGGCACAAACACATAACACGGTGCCCTCGAGCAGAGAGATCCAAAGCGAGCGTACCTAACTGGGAAGCGACATTGGCTTCAAACCTATATACAGAAGATGTTGATATATAACATGTGGGGAAACGGAATCCACAGCTGCGACTGTGTTGGGTTTGCATGCCAGAGTGCACTGCGATGCACAAAGTCTGAAATTTTGCTTGCACCAATAAAAAGATAAATGAGAAAGATACACAGGAATCTTACTGCAGAATGTCTATGGTTTGGTAAGAATGGTATGAATGTAATCTGATCAGGGATTTTCAGTTGAGTGCTAGAATACTTTACATGTATTATCTCGCCCATATAAACGGTTATACAACTTTCTTTGCGCTTTGGTGGACAGGAAGAGCGATCACAGCAGATTTACGAGACGATAGAAATTACCTGGGAAAATCCCCCCCCTCACGCACTATTTCAGGTAGATTTTCTTTCTTATTGTTCCAGGACAGGTAAGCATTCATATTTAATTTTTTTAAAATTAATTTAATATTTACAATAACTTTCTGGCCATCGCATCCAGATTTGTGGAATGAAAAGAAAGTGGTCCTAAAAAGGGAACGGTCACTTTTCTGCTATTTATACAGAGAAGATGTTAATTTTTCATGAGATGCTCAGTGTTTCCTGTCATTTTTTTCCCTAAAAGGGACACTGCTGGAACCATATCAACATAATTGGAAATAATGTATGGTAGGATAAGGAGCCCGGCACCAGCTTGCTTTTAGAGTTTAAATAGTTAATTGTTGAATTCGGTGCCCATCACCCTGCCCAGCTCTTTCCGCCGAGGTTAGAGGCTTTAAATCCGGAAGCCTCAGACTGTGAGCGTCGGCTGATACTCTCAGCCTATCCATAACTTCACTTTCATAAACCTACACACACACAGTATACAGCGTGCGGTGAGTATGGTCAGTGGCTGACAATGCTGGGTGCACCCACCAGTTATTGTGGGCACTGGTCGCTGTGAAGCTCAGCTGAGCAGAGCATTGCTTCCTAAGACAGCCTTCACGGCACGTGATCAGTCCAGGATTTCACCACTTCCCTGTTCTTTTCGAATAGCGGAAACAGATAAAACTGGACACTTGATGTGCCTTGAGGGCTGAGTTAGGAACGCTTGCAATGTACCGGGTAGTATTTGTGGAGTATGGTATTGTCATATCAATACGTTAATCACTGTTCTCCCATGTGTTGTTTTACGTGATTATGTATAGCTGCTCTCCTTACCAGGTGTCTGTCTTCGAGGTAAAGATCCCCTCTAGGAAAGCCTCCGGGGGCATCCATTTTACTGGCAGCATGGCTCGCCCTCCCTTACGGTAATAACTTGCTCTGAAAAAGAAATCCAGCATCTAATATTTATTCTGGATGATCCACCGTCCTTCCAATATGAATGTGATTTCAGCAGAATACAACCACATGCATACCCCACAATGTGGCATTTTATTTCATAGCAGTGAGTACTCTGGCTGTATATGTGACACGTTTAGGTTATTAAATTACATTGTAGCATCAATGTCCACCTCCCCACACAGCTGTCCTGTTAGAGAAACATTGACATTTAAAAATAAATAAATCAATGTTTAATAAAGATGTGAAGGAGTCGTTTGTATCCTCGTCCCACCATCTTAATGCACCTTGAGTCAGACATTATCCCAGAAAATGATCACTATTTTCCAACCATCTGTTGGGGTTTACAAAACGCTGCAGGAAGAAAGAACGCACTACTTTGAAAAACAATGACTGGATGCAACGTAGTAACGTTTTCCGGAAACAGTCTGATCCAAGGTGGATAAAGATGGCTGTCAGAATGGGGGCGTGGGAGGCAATAGACATCCTTCAAAAACTTTAATATACATAAATTGGTATAATAGATCAGTGAAGCTAAACGCAAGAGGCAGCAATTGCCCAGAGTACCTGCCTTGCAAAGTTTGGGATGGGTTAGAAAAGGGAGGGCTTGCAAAGGCTGCAGACAAGAGATCTGCAGCTATTACAAGCTGTTTTTAGACATACCACCAATTGAGAAACTGCAGAATTTAAATCCATGCATGAAGGTGTATGTATCTAGTGACCAATTATTCTTTTTACATTTTATTTTAATAGTGAAGCATCCCTTTAATATTACTGGTCCATTAACCGTTGGCATTAAGGGTCCGGTAAGTTTAACTCTCCCTGCTATTCCATAGAAACATTTTGTTGTATATGGAGAACATCATCTAAACCTTCAGCCGCCATTTAGACAACATGATATTGCTGCATACATTGTTCTTAAAGATTATTTATGTACATACCATAAATGTTAATCAATTTTATTAGTGCAGTCATATTAAAAGCATTAAACGTTGAAAGCACATGGAAACGCCTGTACCCAAGCTGTCATTAAACACAGCAATTCAATCTATTTCCCAGGAAGAGTCGCGATCTGTGTATAAAGAATGCTGTAAAGGGGCCGACTAAACGGATTTCTAGAAATAGGGGTTTATTCAGTATATAGTAACAGCTAAAACTTAGCCCAAAATGTCAGATCTGGAAAACCGCTTACCTGTAAATATCACGAGCCATTCCAAAGTCACCGATTTTGGCCACACGCCCAGTGCTACTGTTGGTCAGAAGGCAGTTTCTGGCAGCAATATCCCTAATTTGGGGAAAAATATCAATTAAACCAAGAAATCATCAAGTCCTCTATTTCAAGAAAGTAAAAATGGTGAATTCTCAGACTGCAGAAAGGTTAATTCCACCAACAAGTTGGCACAAATACAACCACGTTATATGCTATATAATACTTTACTAATTTTACTGTCCCAGGAGGAGACTGCAATCACATCTCTCCATCTTAAAATGCAGAACAACTGTAAAACTGGCTTTTGGCTGTTAAACTTTCCTGTACAGGTAGTTTAGATTGGTAATTCTCCACACCGGCCGTGCACAATTTATAGATTTCACATTCCATTGGACATTGTGACAAAACGTCTACCTTGAGAACTGGCATAGAATCCAGCCTATCGATGCTATGTATATCTCCAGCAAAGGCTTTATAGCACTACCAATAGTGTCTGATTCCTGGCCTAATATGATCGTCTCCCCTACTCCTCCCCATCTACCTGTGATCAGGGTATTGCTATAAGAAGGGCAATAGTCTGCAGTTTGCATTATTAGAATGGTAACCATTTTTTAACAAGCACCATGATCACTTCAGTCTATTTGTCCAGTGTTTCACATTGAAATTCTGCGGTTTAACCCCACTTCCACCAGTGTCATTGGGGCATCATCAGCCAGCTGGGCCAATGTCAATTCTGTGCATATTGAATAGCATGCTGGTGACAGGCGTCCAATGGCAGTGCAGCACGGATCCACCTGTGCCGCCCATGTCCTCCAACTAACATCCAGATGATTACTTGGACTCGGCGCTGGTAAAGCTTTATTTTAACGTCTTGAGAGGATGGCAGTATAGAAAGGGTTACTCTAACCTAATCCAGTGTTTTACTAACTGGTTGGAGTAACCCTTTAAAGTTTGGAATTTGACAGCTGGCATGGTCTTACTTGCTGGGCATGGCACATCGTATGATGGAAGACAGAGCCTACCTGTGGATGAACTGGTTGTCCTCTAGATATTTACAGCCGCACGCTATATCCCGGGCCATGTTCAGCAGGTCGAGCATGGTTAAAGAGGGAGGCTTAGTCTGTGAACAGAATGAGAGCTTTTATATTAAACCTGCTACAGTAATAGACGAGATACCAGCTGGCCGGATCATGTAATTCTATAACTCCCAGCACAGAATAAACGTTACACTATCATTACTTACCACCAATGGACGATTTTGTCTTAAGAAACTTTTCATGTCTCCGCCGGACATCAGCTCAAGTAAAATAAATCGGGGGAGAGTCTGAAGGCTTACCCCAATGCATCGCACGATATTCTGGTGGCTAAATTTACTGAGTAGAAAAAATAAATTAACGTTGGGGTTCTGCTTTTCAGTAAAGTGTGATTTTATGAATTATTTCAAACTGTGGTATACTCCCTGTATTCTGTCTTATTAATACATTCCACACAGTGCACTATTTATAGTGAGGCTGGTATTAAGATGTTAAAGTATTAACACATATCCGGTTTGACACATCTCCTGCCGTATATTTTGACAAATTATAAACCGTAATAATTTACATGGAATAAAGTACCTTGATTTGCAATCCTACGTGTAACTGCTCATTTACAGACTGGTTTCCTTTATTTCTAAGGATTGGGTTTGCGTGGCCTGTTATCATGCCATAGAGATCTAGACTTCCTTCCTTGGTTTTAAAGTGTAGTTAAATCGCAGCCCACAACGAGTGTCCCTTTCACAGGAGTGAATTACCTGATTATTAGCGCTTCCATTAGGAAGTCCATCTCGTCCTGTTCTGAGCAGATTTCGGGCAAAGTCTGATGGACAAATGAACAAAGAGAGAAGCAAGCTGATAAATTGATTAAAAATACTCTGCTGAATAAAATCTGTACCTGTCACTTTATAGCAACATTGCGCTATTACGTACATAAAACAAACATGGCTGTCGCAATGGTTTTTCTGGCGTTTCCCCATTCAGACATGGAGTAACATGGCTGCAGGCTAGTCGTTCGTGGCAATTTCTCTGCTTGCATTTATTGAGTTCCTCCTGCGGGGGGCCAAAATGACTGAGAGAATATTCTCTTAATGTTTCGCCAGCATAATGTGTACATTATGTTCACCTGCACATTTTATAGATGTCAATATTCATTATATTATAAAAACACTCAGAAAAGAACGCAGGTTTGATCCCTAAGAATGTTTAGGGCCCACGAGGTTTGTGTAACCCTGGACTTTTCCAGATGGATACAAGGAATTTGCTTGGTCGTATTTACACAGCTGTATCGTGTCGACCTGTGTTAGGATCTATTTAATGTTCTCACCCAGTCATTGCTGGCGGCAGCTAGAAGGTTATGGCTAATCTACAGCCGTGCCCTCCACTAGTCAACAGCACAATCCCCGGTTAAACAGTCAATACACGGTGACCGTTTGTATCACGCACTCAGAGTTCCAAAGGTAAATCTTATTAAGGTGAAAATTGTATTCATTTTTTAAATAAAAGGAAAACGCATTGATTACTATGTCTTAAGCCAGAAATTTAAGATATTTTAATTTGTATTATTACTTGCACTTGCCACATCAGCTCTGAGAACCATAATATCTTCGCAAGAAGAAATAGTTACAAAATGAGAAATAATTCCTTTTAGAGAGTTTGGTTTATTACACCAGTGATGGCTGAGCTTTGGTAACCCGGCAGTTGTGAATTACATCCTACGGTGCTCAGCCAGACACATGGAACTAAGAAATCTGATAGACGTCAGTGGCTGTGCGCATGGTCAGAGCAGCGATCTGCAAACATCGCAAATCTATACGATTTCTTTGGAGAATTAACCATGGTGCAGAGTTGTGGTTGTGCACCCCATAAATAATCAAATTGTCTCACTTAGCATTATAATTGAACCAGATGTTTAATGACATCCCCATACAATGGTTTGTCACTGGAGAAATGGAGGAGGTCACGTATTTACCTACTGAGCAGCTAAGATTTATCTGGCATCGGCGACTTGCTGATCCACACAGAATATGCAATGGGTACTGACCTTGATCGCGACTTGTAACGGATTGGGATCCCCAGAAATCCCCACCACCAAGCCTTCATATACTTCTCCAAACGCACCGTGACCAAGCGCTCTAGAAAAGGGGTCGAGAAAGAGAGCTGTAGGTTAGGAAGCAGGTCATATCCGATCGTTTAAATAACACAATCAAAAGTTTACCGTTACTTTTCTGGGATTGGTTTGCTGCATTTTGGCCTGAGGATATGGTAGGTTAGGGTAAGTATTTTAGGATTTGGAGTAAAATATCAGGCAGTGAATTTCAGAGTTGCAGATTAAGGTTAGTATTTTAAAGCACAAATCAAGTGTCATTAACAGCATTAACCAGATGGTCAGCCAGCTATTTAATAAACCGGAGCCAACAACAAGGCTCTAATTTCAGTGGTATTCCTGTGAAAAAACAACAGCTTTCTGAATAAATCTGCGGAATCTCTCAGAACCGGTCCAGTCAGTGAGAAATCATTATCTCCAACCAAAATATACAGGGGACACAAGGAGAGGTAAGAAAAATACCCACATTTAAATATCCATGCGTACAACAAGTATGGTCACAAACGGAATAAGGAACTGTGATAAGGGGTTATAAACTATCATTTCGCCCACTTTATTCATGTGTAATTCCCTCAGTAAATCAGTTTCTGATCCTCAATATGCCAATCGTCTCCATCCCACCAGGAGTCCAGAATATCCAATCACTTGAGCTTCAACCCTAAGGCAAAAGCCAATTATCAGCCATAGATGGTAGTAATCATCTATTCTTCATCAATTGCCCTCTGTGGAGACTCTTCGGGTCTACTGAATATGCTACCGGAGGTAATCAAATGTCCTCACAGACCTGAGATCACATCCACATGGGGGGTGTATTATCCCATTCCCAATGAAAGAGAAATATTAACTACATAGAAGAATGGAATAATATACATCAGGGATAGGCAAGCTTCGGCACTCCAAAATGTTGTGGACTACATCCCCCACAATGCTGGCAAAGCATCATGGGAGGTGTAGTCCAAAACATCTGGAGTGCCGAAGGTTGCCTATGCCTGATATACATGAACACATAGTTATGGGGTTCCTGTGCTACATTTTTCTTGTTTGTAACATTCCTAAACAATTCATCAAAGTGACCCACAGATAGGTGGGTGAAATCTTGACCAATACCACCTTGACCGCAATGAAACGGTCACAAACGACAGAATTCCCAAACATGACCAGCTGCTATGAAAGTCTGTGGTGAACCTGACCTTGAGATGTAACACGGCCTGTGAACAGACCACAGGTGAGGGAGAAACTAGAATTTGTTTTTCTTTCTTTACAAAATGAACATTGTAGGCACTTTAAAGGAACGCAACATGTATTCCTGATCCGAGAGTGTTAAAACCACCATCTAGCCCCCTTGGCCCCCCTCTTGTCTCCCTAAATAAAGTAAAATCTTACTTGTATTCAAGTCTGCAGCTGCTGCATCTGCCCCTAATCTTCATGCTTGGCTTACATCCACAGAAAAGTTGATCAAAGCCAATCACAGTGGTTCCCCATAGGATTGGCTGAGACTGTCAAGGAGGCAGATCAGGGACAGAGCCAGCACAAGTCAAACACAGCCACAGCCAATCAGCATCTCCTCATAGAGATACATTAAATCAGTGTATCTCTACAAAGCAAGTTCAGTGTCTTCATGTAGAGGGTGGAGACACTGAATGTCAGTCACACTATGCAGCACTGCCCCAGGAAGCACCTCTAGTATCCATCTGAGGAGTGGCCAGTGGAGTTATCACTAGGCTGTAATGTAAACACTGCATTTTCTCTGAAACAAACAGTGTTTACTGCAAAAAGCCTGAAGGGAATGATTCTACTCACCAGAACAAATACAATAAGCTGTAGTTGTCCTGGTGACTATAGTGTCCCTTTAAAAACTTCCAGAAGAAGCAATTCGAAGAGGAGACTGTGGCAGTGCCAAGGGACTTCTGCACCGGAGAAAAGGTGAGGTATTTTTTTTTTTTTTTAATTTATTTTTATTGTACACAGGGTGGTGGGGGGAGGTGGAACTTAATCGACAAGGGGTGTCAGGGCTGTAGTATTAGGAATACAGATGTGTTCCTTTGAAATCTGTGTATTTTGCAGCCATTCTGCTAGCACAATGCATAGATTGAATTTAATCAACTAACTTTTTATAAATTGTGTGTGCCTTAACAGCGGAGACTGTCCCAGCTGCTTCTCTTGGTTTTCACGGTAATTGTTTCATTTTTACAACGTGCTAGTCGCTTCCCTGAATCCCCTGCCATAGTTTGTGTGCTATTCGCCTTATTCCAATGTTAGTGAATACTCTCCTTTCTCTGTCCTATAAAGATATAATGGTGGAGGTGGTACCTGAGCAAAGTGATGTTTTTGCGTGGGACTTCCTTCAGTTCGCTCAAGCCAGCTCCTTTCCCCGCAAAGCAGTAGTTGGGATTATAATCGGTCATAATGATGGAGCTTCGAATTTTGCTCAGTTTATACTCCGTACTCTGTAAACGCACGCGGGCCCCTTCCAATTGCTTCTTCTTACGGTGATAAACTGACAGAAAACCCACAACAGGGAGATATTAATACATTATAAATAAAGCAATGAATATCACAGCGGAATGAAACCGTTACGGACATTAAAGGCGCAGGTTTCCGAAGCACAGATTATTCTGTATTAGAGATTGATCAATAGGAAAATAAAGGATCTCCTCGACACTTGGGGTCTCAAATGTCATAAGAAGTGTAGGTGACTTTCACGTATGTGTTATTTTCTTACGTATAAAACCATTACTCCCACCTTTATTTAAGATTGGGGATCCCATCTTTTCTGTAGTGAGCCGTAATAAATCCGTTTTCTGACACTTTTATTTAGATTTGTTTTACTTCCTTTTCCCCTGATAATTTTACCATTCATTGAACCACAAATAAGACAAATGATTAATATTAATTTGAAGAAAATTAATAAAGTTCACGATTTTAAACATTTTTTTTTTATTCTTTAAAGGTGAAAGCGGCACATTTCATACACAGCCCCCATTGTATTCCCTTCTTATCTGCAGGAGAAACACAGGATCTAAAATGTTATGTTCCTGGCCACATAAAGTACAGCAGTGGATACCAAGGGCCATAATTAAATCTCACGCACATCTTGCATTGATTCTGGAATATGTGCGTGTGCTGCGCTATATATGAAATATATTTATCTTCATATTGATTATGACCTAGGGTAAAATGTTCTGTCTTCTGGTAGAAGTCAGTTTCAGTTCAGACATGAAAGGAGTAGAAAGGGGTTTATGTGCTGAAACTTTCACACCGCAAATAAAAGAAAATCAATATGTTAAAGATCTTTCATCAATTTCTGTGCCCCGAGTTTCCCTTCCTGAGTTGGGGTATAGTGTGTGGAGCAGACAATGTCTTCTTACAAGATCTGTATTAAGTTCATTGCTCACATGTTTTACAGAAAGCTCATTTCATTCTCACAGCGGGCGCTCCGCATTAACACATTGTAGGATACACAGGACTGTCCACACGTTCGTTCTTGTGGTTTTAAACACAGCTCCATAGTTCTCACGTTTACAGCACGAACTAATTCAGGTTGTGGGGACAGTGAACGGTATTCAGTGAGAGTTTAGAAATCTCAGAAATAAAAAATTATAAGGAAACTTACCAAATGACAGACTTCCACAGGCAAAGATTAGGCAAAGAACCACCGTGGCGATAACAGCTAAAATAAGACGCAGTGGGAGGGGTCTGTCTGCAACAAGCCAATTAGGAGCTTAAAAGGAGAGAAAAAAAATCTTAATGTTTTGCTGAGATGAATTAATGAATTAATCCTATTACAAAAACCATCTTGGGGCATCTTACAGTAAAATAATCACAAATTAAACTATGCTATTTATACCTGTGCTACACATTCAGCCTATCCTTTACCTTTACCTGTACCTGTGCTACACATTCAGCCTATCCTTTACCTGTACCCGAGCTACACATTCAGCCTATCCTTTACCTGTGCTACACATTCAGCCTATCCTTTACCTGTGCTACACATTCAGCCTATCCTTTACCTGAGCTACACATTCAGCCTATCCTTTACCTGAGCTACACATTCAGCCTATCCTTTACCTGAGCTACACATTCAGCCTATCCTTTACCTGTACCTGTGCTACACATTCAGCCTATCCTTTACCTGTACCTGTGCTACACATTCAGCCTATCCTTTACCTGTACCTGAGCTACACATTCAGCCTATCCTTTACCTGTACCTGTGCTACACATTCAGCCTATCCTTTACCTGTACCTGAGCTACACATTCAGCCTATCCTTTACCTGTACCTGTGCTACACATTCAGCCTATCCTTTACCTGTACCTGAGCTACACATTCAGCCTATCCCCATTCTGAGCCACACATTCAGCCCATCCCTCACTTACCTGAGCCACACATTCAGCCTATCCTTTACCCGTGAGCATTCAGCCACACACATCCTCAGCCTACCTGTACCTGAGCTTTACACTAGCCTATCCTTTACCTGCACCTGTGCTACACACATTCAGCCCACCTACCCTGTACCTGTGCTACACATTCAGCCTCCCATCCACCTGTACCCAGCTACACATTCAGCTCATCCTTACCTGAGCTACATTCAGCCTATCCTTTACCTGAGCTTCACACATTCAGCCTATCCTTTACCTTACCTGTATCTGTGCTACATTCAGCCTATCCTTTACCTGTAAATTGAGCTACACATTCAGCCTATCCTTTACCTGTACCTGAGCTACACATTCAGCCTATCCTTTACCTGTGCTACACATTCAGCCTATCCTTTACCTGTACCTGAGCTACACATTCAGCCTATCCTTTACCTGTACCTGAGCTACACATTCAGCCTATCCTTTACCTGTACCTGAGCTACACATTCAGCCTATCCTTTACCTGTACCTGAGCTACACATTCAGCCTATCCTTTACCTGTACCTGAGCTACACATTCAGCCTATCCTTTACCTGTACCTGAGCTACACATTCAGCCTATCCTTTACCTGAGCTACACATTCAGCCTATCCTTTACCTGTACCTGAGCTACACATTCAGCCTATCCTTTACCTGTACCTGAGCTACACATTCAGCCTATCCTTTACCTGTACCTGTGCTACACATTCAGCCTATCCTACCTGTACCTGTGCTACACATTCAGCCTATCCTTTACCTGTACCTGAGCTACACATTCAGCCTATCCTTTACCTGAGCTACACATTCAGCCTATCCTTTACCTGAGCTACACATTCAGCCTATCCTTTACCTTTACCTGTATCTGTGCTACACATTCAGCCTATCCTTTACCTGTACCTGAGCTACACATTCAGCCTATCCTTTACCTGTGCTACACATTCAGCCTATCCTTTACCTGTACCTGAGCTACACATTCAGCCTATCCTTTACCTGTACCTGAGCTACACATTCAGCCTATCCTTTACCTGTACCTGTGCTACACATTCAGCCTATCCTTTACCTGTACCTGAGCTACACATTCAGCCTATCCTTTACCTGTACCTGAGCTACACATTCAGCCTATCCTTTACCTGTACCTGTGCTACACATTCAGCCTATCCTTTACCTGAGCTACACATTCAGCCTATCCTTTACCTGAGCTACACATTCAGCCTATCCTTTACCTGTACCTGTGCTACACATTCAGCCTATCCTTTACCTGTACCTGAGCTACACATTCAGCCTATCCTTTACCTGTACCTGTGCTACACATTCAGCCTATCCTTTACCTGTGCTACACATTCAGCCTATCCTTTACCTGTACCTGTGCTACACATTCAGCTCATTGTTTACCTGTACAGCTTCCATGACGCTTTGTAATTCCAAAGGTGTGCAGAGCATCAAAGTAGTTGTAGTTTTAAAACATCTGGGAATCTACCTTTTGGGCACCCCTGCTTTACCTGTGGTAATCTTGCCGCTTGTACTCTACCTATACCTGTGCTAAATATGCAGCTTGTCAGACGAGCAGCTTTTTTTCAAGTCTAGCACAATATACTACGAAAAAAAGTCAGTATCTTCACAAACTGCGGCAACAAAACCACCACCGTATTTAACGTATCAAAAGCCCTGTTCCAGTCACTGTGAGCCTTGGAGTTGGGGAACTCTGTTTTGGGTTATGACATAGGAGTTACGCACAACTGGTATATTGGAAAGCACTGCTTGAGGAAGGAACATACCATCTGAAAGGACTTCTAACACTCCAGATAATTCAGATGGTTACAGTTATAAACATAAAAAACATCAGAGAGACTTGGCAAACTTTAAAGATATCTAGAACCTGGCAAGGTTGCATATTTCCAAAACTACATTTACTTTTACATAACAGACATTCAGGATTCTTTAAACTCAGAAATGATGTATTTTACACACAGGGTGAACCTTTAATTGAAACACAAAAATTCTCCAGCAAAGACCCCTACAGAGCTAATATTATATCTGGTCACCCTGTAACTCCCAATTTCTTAATACTATAAACCCACCCAGTATAACTGTAACCTAACCTACACAGTGCATCTAACGTGTGTGGGAGCCTGGAGTGTCCCTTTAATAATATAAACCCTCCCAGTATAACTAATTGTAACCTAACCTACACAGTGCATCTAACGTGTGTGGGAGCCTGGAGTGTCCCTTTAATAATATAAACCCACCCAGTATAACTGTAACCTAACCTACACAGTGCACCTAATGTGTGTGGGAACCTGAAGTGTCCCTTTAATAATATAAACCTACCCAGTATAACTAACTGTAACCTAACCTACACAGTGTACCTAACGTGTGTGGGAGCCTGGAGTGTCCCTTTAATAATATAAACCCACCCAGTATAACTAACTGTAACCTAACCTACACTGTGCACCTAACGTGTGTGGGAGCCTGGAGTGTCCCTTTAATAATATAAACCCACCCAGTATAACTAACTGTGACCTAACCTACACAGTGCACCTTACGTGTGTGGGAGCCTGGAGTGTCCCTTTAATAATATAAACCCACCCAGTATAACTGTAACCTAACCTACATAGTGCACCTAACATGTGTGGGAGCCTGGAGTTTCCCTTTAATAATATAAACCCACCCAGTATAACTAACTGTAACCTAACCTACACAGTGCACCTAACGTGTGTGGGAGCATGGAGTGTCCCTTTAATAATATAAACCCACCCAGTATAACTAACTGTAACCTAACCTACACAGTGCATCTAACGTGTGTGGGAGTCTGGAGTGTCCCTTGATTCCTTGCTAATATAAGCTTATTTCCTCCTTCAGGATAGGTGGAGACAGGTCCGGGTTAATGAATGCCACCCGATGGGCCCTATATCTTCAGTGCCCCGGTCAGCGCTGTGGCCGTGATCGGGCCCCTTAAAAAAAAAAAAAAAAGTGCTGCTGGGAGGAAGTGGTCACTTCCTCCCAGCCCACTCCGCGCGGGAGGAGCGCGTGCGCGCCGGTGAAGAGGGAGAGCCAGCCGACTCCCATCATCCCCAGCCACCGTCCTGCAAAGAAAAGGTAAGAGACAGGAGGGTGGCTGGAAAATGAGCTGTGTGTGTGTGTCTGTATGCATGTATGTCTGTGTATGTATGTCTGTGTCTGTCTGTGTATGTATGTCTGTCTGTATGCATGTATGTATGTATGTCTGTGTGTATGTCTATGTTTGTCTGTCTGACTGTATGCATGCATGTATGTCTATGTATGTATGTCTGTCTGTATGTCTATGTATGTATATATGTATGTCTGTATGTCATTATATATGTATGTCTGTATGTCATTATGAACGTATGTGTGTATGGATGTCTGTATGCATGTATGTCTGTCAGTATGTCTGTATATATGCATGTATGTCAGTCTGAATGTATGTATGTATGTATGTATGCCCTTATGAATGTATGTCTGTTTATGTCTGTATGCCATTATGAATGTATGTGTGTATGGATGATAGTGTCTGTATGTCGGTCAATATGTCTGTGTGTATGTATGTAGGTATGTATGTATGCATGTCGGTATCTGTATGTATGTATGTGTCTTTATGTCCTCATACATGTGTGTCTGTATGTATGTTAGTATGTGTCTGTCTGTCACTATGTATGCCTGTGTGTATGTCTCAGTATGTGTGTCTGTTAGTATGTATCTCTGTCTTTTTGTATCAGTGTGTGTGTTTGTGTCTGTGTGTGTATTCCTGTGGGCGGTATTTGGAGGCGGACCCAGTGGGCGGTATTTGGAAGCGGGCCCCGGGGGGCCCAGACCCTGAGCTGAGTTAGGGGCCCCAAAATTTCTGGTGGCGGCTCTGATGCTGGGATCTGAGTAAATCAGATCAATATGGCTGATTCCCATGCGGTCCAGATATATGATTCTGAACACTCCATATGAACGCATATTTACACTTTACTCCAGTATTCATTCATTCCAGGTCCCGTACCGATACATGTAGTGTTATCTTGGGCCAGGACTGTCCCAAAGTGACAGATGCACACGGCTTTCTTATCGATTGGGTGTCTCATGCAGCTCCCGTGGTCACAGTGGCTACAGTTTAAATAGAGCTCGATTCGTAATTCACCATCACTCTCCACGGCTGTGGAAAGACAGACAGGATGCTACATATCATCAATAAGAACAGGAGGAAAGAAAACATAATGAAATCGACCAATTTAAATGGTAAATAGAAGTTTTACAAAGTTATTAGAACATTTGAACTGGTTCTGTTTTCCTGGTAAGGATAGTAAGCTCACCGGCCAAGGGGTTGATGAACATTTCTCCAGACTGGTGAAAAAATGATACTCCATTCTCTCCATCTGCATAGATGTCATCAAATTGGGAGGAAAACCCACCTATCGGAGAAAACAAAGATACTGAGTAATTAACCAGCTCTCTCAGACGTGGGATTTATCGAGTCTTTATAATAGGTGTGCATGCAGTACAACTATGGAGGACTTCAGGAGGTCGGTGGGCAGAATGAATGACCTGAATGCATGCAGTTCACCTATGGAGGACTTCAGGAGGTTGGTGGGCAGAATGAATGACCTGAATGCATGCAGTTCACCTATGGAGGACTTCAGGAGGTTGGTGGGCAGAATGAATGACCTGAATGCATGCAGTTCACCTATGGAGGACTCCAGGAGGTCGGTGGGCAGAATGAATGACCTGAATGCATGCAGTTCAGCTATGGAGGACTCCAGGAGGTCAGTGGGCAGAATGAATGACCTGAATGCATGCAGTTCACCTATGGAGGACTCCAGGAGGTTGGTGGGCAGATTGGGGCTATACCCCACTCTCACAGGGTCAGCGACACAGGCTATACCCCACTCTCACACAGGGTCAACGACACGGGCTATACCCCACTCTCACACAGGGTCAGCGACTCGGGCTATACCCCACTCTCACACAGGTCAGCAATACGGGCTATGCCCCACTCTCACACAGTGTCAGCGATACGGGCTATACCCCACTCTCACACAGGGTCAGCGACACGGGCTATACCTCACTCTCACACAGGGTCAGCGACACAGGCTATACCTCACTCTCACACAGGTCAGCGATACGGGCTATACCTCACTCTCACACAGAATCAGCGACATGGGCTATACCCCACTCTCACACAGGGTCAGCGACATGGGCTTTACCTCACTCTCACACAGGGTCAGCGACACGGGCTATACCCAACTCTCACACAGGGTCAGCGACACGGGCTATACCCAACTCTCACACAGGGTGGCAAACATAGCCACTTGGACAATATACAGAGACTGTACCTTTAAGGGTTGCCTGTATGTCGGTGGGATATGTGTTTAACTCCGTATAATGTATCCTGGCTGTATGACGTGGAATTACTGTATTGGCTATCTGCCGAATGCAGATAGCTGTATGTACTGTATTTTCTTTCGTTTCACGAACGGCGCTTTTGCGTGCCGTTCGTGAACCGAAAATACCCCCATGTAGTAGCCCACACACTTAGAGGCGTGTGGCACTTGTTAACTGATTGCAACAATGTTGCAATCGGTAATTAGAGGCTCTCCTGGGTGGCCGCCGTTCGACTACCGACCATGCGGTGGTCGGCCATCTTGGATCCTTTGTTCCCTCAGCGGTGTTTGGTCGTCGAGCGCATGGTACTAAAAACGGCTACTCGACGGCGCGAACACCGCTGAGCTTCCAGGCCATTCGGGATTTCGGGCCGTTCGGTATTTTGTTCCCTGGAAGGCAATCGGTATTTTGAACCTGTATTTTAATGAATGTGTTTTTCGTGCGGCGTTCGGTTGTTTTAGCTGGGATCTGAGCGGTAATCTCACGAACGATGCCCTCAGACCCCAGCTATCTACCGAACGTCCATTCGTTTAAATGAACTGCATATTCGAAAAGTTATAGATTTTTATGTAAATTGTCGGTTCTGCTGCACGGAGGGATAATCCACTTAATGGTACATTCCTGTGGGAGGATCCCTCTCGTGCAGCAGTGCCTGATGGGAGAAATGCCTTGTACAGTAAGTCCCCCATGTAGTCCCCTCTGGGAATGCCCCTGGAAGGGGACTCGGGAAACCCCTGGCATGGGGACTTGTATAAATTGTGGAGCTGAAAATAAAGACCTCAGTTGACTCTCAGAACTGTGTTTCGTCCGGTTACTGGGAGATTTGAGATATTGCCTTGCTTTTTCCAGCGATGGACTGTGGATTACTTCCTGAACCAGCGGAATTTGTGGATTTAATATTGGCGTTCCGCTACACGGGCTATACCCCACTCTCACACAGGTCAGCGACACAGGCTATACCCCACTCTCACACAGGATCAGCGACACGGGCTATACCCCACTCTCACACAGGGTCAAGGACATGGGCTATACCCCACTCTCACACAGGGTCAGCGACACGGGCTATACCCCACTCTCACACAGGGTCAGCGACTCGGGCTATACCCCACTCTCACACAGGGTCAGCGACTCGGGCTATACCCCACTCTCACACAGGGTCAGCGACACGGGCTATACCCCACTCTCACACAGGGTCAGCGACACGGGCTATACCCCACTCTCACACAGGGTCAGCGACACGGGCTATACCCCACTCTCACACAGGGTCAGCGACACAAGCTATACCCGGCATCATGGCAGTGTATTAAACCCAGCAACATGGCAGTGTATTACACCTGGCATCGTGGTAGTGTATTAAACCCCGCATTGTGGCAATACACCAAGCTTGGCATCGTGGCAGTTTATCAAACCCGGCATCGTGGCAGCGTGCTAAACCCGGCATCGTGGCAGCGTGCTAAACCCGGCATCGTGGCAGCGTGCTAAACCCGGCATCGTGGCAGCGTGCTAAACCCGGCATCGTGGCAGCGTGTTAAACCCGGCAGCGTGGCAGCGTGTTAAACCCGGCACCGTGGCAGCGTGCTAAACATGGCACCGTGGCAGCGTGCTAAACCCGGCACCGTGGCAGCGTGTTAAACCCGGCACCGTGGCAGTTTCTTAAACCCGGCACCGTGGCAGTGTGTTAAACCCGGCAGCGTGCTAAACCCGGCAGCGTGGCAGCGTGCTAAACCCGGCAGCGTGGCAGCGTGCTAAACCCGGCACCGTGGCAGCATGTTAAACCCGGCACCGTGGCAGAGTGCTAAACCCAACACCTTGGCAGTGTGCTAAACCCGGTATTGTGGCAGCGTGCTAAACCCGGTATCGTGGCAGCGTGCTAAACCCAGGACCGTGGCAGCGTGCTAAACCCAGGACCGTGGCAGTTTCTTAAACCCACCACCGTGGCAGCGTGTTAAACCCGGCATCGTGGCAGCGTGCTAAACCAGGCATCGTGGCAGCATGCTAAACCCGGCAGCGTGTTAAACCCGGCACAGTGGCAGAGTGTTAAACCCGGCACCGTGGCAGCGTGCTAAACCCGGCACCGTGGCAGCGTGTTAAACCCGGCACCGTGGCAGCGTGTTAAACCCGGCACCGTGGCAGTGTGTTAAACCCTGCACCGTGGCAGTTTATTAAACATGTACAAGACTAGTATTATTAAACAGTGTGTTTTTGAGTGTATGGCTTTTACCTTGATATCCCCCTCCGCCCCCACCAGAAGTGCAGGCTCCTCCACCTCCACCAAATCCACCGGACGTTTCCCACTGGAGATTGGCCAGTGCTTGGTAACATGATTGACCCCCTGTGCCTCCTTCTAACAGCGATCGCCCAGCCCACGGCAGCTCCGTGATATCATTCCACCCACCGCCACCACCTGTGGAGAGAAAACCAAGCAACATAGTGGCTCTGCTATGGACATGTGTAGTATGGTAATAATGGTCGGTTTTCTTCCTACATTCTTACTGGTGAGGCTGTGTTTCCCTATTGTTCTGACCCGGCAATAGCTCTTTAATCTTTAAATTTCACCTGCTGGCTGTAAGCACAGTTGGACAAAGGATTTTCACAAATTAGAAATAAAAAAACTGGGGAACTGAAATCCCCAAATCTGCCCCCAATGACGCAGTCTGAAGGCATCTGATAAATGTCCTTAATCCGATACTTTGCTGAGAAAATAAGTCAGAAAAGTCCAAACACCGCACAGACACTAAGCTGCTACACATTTAATTCACAAATTGGGATAAATCCTGACTGAGCATCCAAATGACCTTTCCTATAAACCCTAATCCCGCTCCTCTGTCTTTAATAAAAAGAAATCCCACTGACTCATCTCCAACACAGAAACTCCCCATCTAACACCATCAATGGAACACGCCACCCCTTTATCATAAACCAGGATAGGAAAATGGCGGCAGAGCGTCATCCTTTATTCAATGATATTTTTCTTTATTCACGGATATAAGGTTTCTTTTCAAGATCCACCTGGAATTCGTCAAAGTCAAGTAAATTCCTTTAAGAATATGTATGTTATTGGCCATTGTAATCATATGCATACTGAACAGGAAACCAATATCTCAACCAATTGTTATTTGACCCCAAAGCCAGTCACCAGCCCCTCCTGACGTTATCTCACAAGATCAGAACCAGCAGATTGCTTTCATCTCTAATCTGTTAAACCAAACACTTAAACAGCCTCCACTGGGGATATTGGAAATATTCCATGAAGATGTGTCCAGAATCCTGAATTTTTTTGAATATTCTTTTATGTAACATTTAAATAAACAAACAACCCAAATCGAAACCCCTCCTATAACACACACTACTTTCATTGCAGCTCCCCACACCTCCTATAACCCACACTACCTAAGCAACACACTCATTGCAGCTCCCCACACCTCCTATAACACACACTACCTGAGCAGCACACTCACTGCAGCTCCCCACACCTCCTATAACACACACTACCTGAGCAGCACCCTCACTGCAGCTCCTCACACCTCCTATAACACACACTACCTGAGCAGCACCCTCACTGCAGCTCCCCACACCTCCTATAACCCACACTACCTGAGCAGCACGCTCACTGCAGCTCCCCACACATCCTATAACACACACTACCTGAGCAGCACTCTCACTGCAGCTCCCCACACCTCCTATAACACACACTACCTGAGCAGCATTCTCACTGAAGCTCCCCACACCTCCTATAACACACACTACCTGAGCAGCATGCTCACTGCAGCTCCCCACACCTTCTATAACCCACACTTACTATAACCCACTGCTCACTGCAGCTCCCCACACCTTCTATAACCCACACTACCTGAGGAGCACACTCACTGCAGCTCCTCACCTACCCCTGCTCCCACACTACCACAGGCAGCACACTCACTGCAGCTCCCCCGCACCTTCATAACCCACACTACCTGAGCAGCCGCAGCTCACACTGCAGCTCCCCCACCTCCTATAACCCACACTACCTGAGCAGCTTGCAGCTCACTGCAGCCCACCACACCTCCTATAGCACACACTACCACAAGGCAGCCGCTCACGCAGCTCCACACCTCCTATAACACCCACACTGCAGGCAACACACGCTCACTGCAGCTCCACGCCTCCTATAGCACACACACTACCTGAGCAGCACACTCACTGCAGCTCTCCACACCTCCTACTTAACCCACACTACCACAAGGCAGCACACTCCTGCAGCTCCCACACCTCCATAACCCACACTACCCACAGGCAGCCCGCGGCTCTGCAGCTCCCTACACCTCCTATAACACATACTACCTGAGCAGCACGCTCACTGCAGCTCCCCACACCTCCTATAACACACACACTACCTGAGCAGCACACTCACTGCAGCTCCCTACACCTCCTATAACACACACTACCTGAGCAGCACACTCACTGCAGCTCCCACACCTCCAATAACCCACACTACCTGAGCAGCACACTCACTGCAGCTCCCCACACCTCCTATAACCCACACTACCTGAGCAGCACATTCACTGCATCTCCCCACACCTCCTATAACCCACACTACCTGAGCAGCACATTCACTGCATCTCCCCACACCTCCTATAACCCACACTACCTGAGCAGCACACTCACTGCAGCTCCCCACACCTCCTATAACCCACACTACCTGAGCAGCACGCTCACTGCAGATCCCCACACCTCCTATAACACACACTACCTGAGCAGCACACTCACTGCAGCTCCCTACACCTCCTATAACCCACACTACCTGAGCAGCACCCTCACTGCAACTCCCTACACCTCCTATAACCCACACTACCTGAGCAGCACGCTCACTGCAGGTCCCCACACCTCCTATAACACACACTACCTGAGCAGCACACTCACTGCAACACACACTCACCGCAAGATCCCAAGACACCTCCTATAACACACACTACCTGAGCAGCACACCTACTGCAGCTCCCCACACCTCCTATAACACACACTGCCTGAGAAGCACGCTCACTGCAGCTCCTCACACCTCCTATAACCCACACTACCTGAGCAGCACGCTCACTGCAGCTCCTCACACCTCCTATAACCCACACTACCTGAGCAGCACGCTCACTGCAGCTCCCCACACATCCTATAACACACACTACCTGAGCAGCACTCTCACTGCAGCTCCCCACACCTCCTATAACACACACTACCTGAGCAGTACACTCACTGCAGCTCCCCACACCTCCTATAACCCACACTACCTGAGCAGCATGGTGACTGCAGCTTCCCACACCTTCTATAACACACACTACCTGAGCAGCACACTGACTGCAACTACCCACACCTCCTATAACACACACTACCTGAGCAACACGCTCACTGCAGCTCCCCGCACCTATTTTCTATTGATTCCTAGTAAAATGCTTTTGCATGGGATGTAAGAACGCATTGTGTTTGAAGCCACATGTCCCTGTTGGTCAGTACCTGCTGCTCCAGATCTGCCATTGAGCCCAGGAACTGACGTGCTGTTGTTAAACTGCTCTGGTTTCTCGACGTCTGGGAAGCCTTCTGGATGTTGAAGATAGGCTTTACCTCCTCCACCGGCTCCAACCAGCAGAGGAATAAATCTGCCATTTTCATCTTTCTATAAAGCAGAAACAATCAATGACTACACGCGGTATAGATACAGTAACAAGCGGTGATTTGAATTCACTAAGCTGCTAACTCTGAGCGGTATTGTCTAAGCTGGGAGTTATACCAGACGCAGAGAGACAGGTGTTAGAGACTGCCGTTATACAAAGCTCTAAGCACCAGCTGTAAATACTGCATTCTGGGCAAGTAAAACAGGTCTACCCTGGGAGAAAACCCACAGGGGGTGACATTGGGTTACTGGATACATGTATCTTCTCATAGACCCCAAACACGGGAGGTACTGAATTATGGTGTCACCTTTCAGCATCAATTACAGAGTCTGCAAGGGCTGCAGTGGTTATTTTAGTTAAACACATATCAGAAGGTCGATCGGATTTAGAAGCCCAGGTCAACGTACCATAAATAACAACCGAATGACCAACCTTAAAAACATACGTTGCTCCGCCACCACCACCTCCACCACCAGCCCAGTCAGACAGAGATCTGTTCTCTCGATCTTTGTCCTCGATCAGTGAAGATATCCCCATGCAGATTTCATGAGTCACTTTATTTTTCTAGAAGTTTAAACATTAGTTTGACTGAGCACCAGCTAACTTTATAGTCTAATTATTTCTCATACATCTGATACAAAGACAAAGCCTTCATTTTCACCTTTTACTGAAAGATTTCATCAACAAAACATTACTAATTTCACAAAGTGTTTTCAATAAAAACAAAAGAATATTGCCGGATTTTGTAGTTTTATGCTTGCTGGTTACAAACCCTAAAAGCATTTCTCTCCCAACACATGGGCAGATCAACATTCAGCGTGTGGCGAGATATTTACCCCGGGGCAGGCGTCCTCTCCTTGCTGTCCCACCAGGATATAGAGAATCTCATCCTTCTGCAGTTGGAATACGGCACACATGAAGACACCGAAGGAGCGTTTGTTACTGTTCTTTGCACCTTTACCACCAGCTGCTCCATACGCAGAGATCCTGAGATGTAGCGTGACAGAGAACAAAATACAACGTACTCAATACACAGCTTCCGTAAAAAACACTTCTTTCACATACAATACAGTATCGGAGTCTGGATGCAGAGCATCTCACCAATTCTTTACTAGTGATAGGAATCCCACACGGTCACCTGGATGGAAGATTTGCCTTTATTTACCCACGCCATCAGAGAATCTCTTAACGCTGTTGTAGAATATATAGCATTCCTATATCTTGATGGTTTTAAGGTCTGTTTAGCAGTTTATTAAACTAGAATGAAGTATTTCTCCCATCATTACGCAGATCAAACAACCGCTTCTTCACTTCACCAAGAAATGTAGGGAATTAATAAGCGCAAATCTTTGAATGACAGGTTCTGATTGGCTGCTGACAGCACATGACCTCACCAGATATCTTTCACTCAATAACCGCCACTGGACGCAAGATTACAAGCAAGTATAGCAGCCTAACATGCACCCCGGCTAGATGAAAATAGTAAATATCGTCTGGGAATTCTCGTTTTACATTGATTTGCACAAATTAAATTGCTGGTGACAGATCAACTTGATATATTTTTCTATTTTCAAACAAAGAAGCGTCTTCTGGTAAAATGCCAATGGTTTCGGGTTTTTATTAATCTCATATGGCGCAGAGAGTTAATGTAGGAAATTACACAACATATCGTGATCAAATGCAGTCAGTGGCCGCAAGAGACACGTAAAACACGACGTCTCCATTAGATCTGTTAAAGACTGATAATTGTGTGCACACGGTCACTTTATCTGAACCTTTTCTCATTTTCATTGGTTTCATCATCTGTTTTTACATTTTGCTACTTTCCCCCCATTCATCATTTACAGATACACAGCTTTAACAGATCAGGACGGGCTTGTGGAACGCTGACTGAACACATCTGCTCATTTTAGGCTACATTCATCTTAATCTACCCTGACTTTATCAAACACTCCCAGCCCATGTCTGGAACGGATAACTCAGGAAATGTTATTTATTAGAAGTAAAATTATACTTATAACCGCTACAGCGCTAATAGCTACGTATTGGCCATTAATCAACTCAGGAGAAGACAATCATTTATTGTGGACAATTGTTTATCTATTTCTGTCTCCTTTAAATCTCACGTGAAATCCTTGCAAACACAGATATCGATTTATTGGAATTCAGAAATTCTCCTGCCCACTCATATCAATCTGACCCTGCATTATCAAACGCAGTGTATGGTGACTGTGATTTGGCCAACGATGGTAAACTGTATTAAATCTAGACATGGTAAATCACATACGTCCTCACTCTTTAATTATTGGTCACACTGGAATCAGCATGACCCAAACTCGTTACTCCCCACCGTAATCCAAACTCGTTACTCCCCACCGTGATCCAAACTCGTTACTCCCCACCGTGATCCAAACTCGTTACTCCCCACCGTCCAAACTCGTTACTCCCCACCGTGACCCAAACTCGTTACTCCCCACCGTGACCCAAACTCGTTACTCCCCACCGTGACCCAAACTCGTTACTCCCTACCGTGACTCAAACTCGTTATTCCCCACCGTGACCCAAACTCGTTACTCTCTGTCCTGAGCACACTAAGGGTGTAACAACATATAGAGATAAGCTCAATGCATCAATAATTTGGAGTGGGAGGAGGTCACTCAATCTGCATTCTTGCCCCATTGTCACGTTCTGGATGGTTGAAATAAATTACCTTGGCGATGGGCGATAGATAAGCAGGATACAACTGTGTGATGTCCATAATGATATTTTCTAAGACACACATTTCTTCACATTCTAGCATAGGAAAAGTTCTACCCTCTCCATAACAGGTGAAACCCCCACATGCACATTTCAGCCCTATATAGCCCTGATCATGGAGGAAGGGCTGGTATCTCGATGGTCTCTGTGACTAGAGGATGTATACGACAGTCAGTCTTTACCTGCTGGAGTCTTCCAACAAAGTTAATTGAATGATAATTGTAACCTAAGTCTACGGTTTACATCGTGACACATCACTGGCCAGATATAGTTGGTGAATTCATCAAGTAATATCACATCCTGTGAATAGTCTACTCACTTGTAAACATCGGTGAATGGGACCTTCCACATTTGTATTCCTTCTAATGGGCCGTCTTTCACTACTTCCACCGACACGTTGGAGTTCCGGTACGCGTTATCACATTGAGATTGAGTTGGACCATGAGGTCCTCTTGCACCACAAGGACCAAACCACCATTCCATCTCCTCTGTTTAAAGTGCAATGATTGAGATATTTATTGAAAAGAATAGGACAGGCAGACGTATACACATTGTATCAGTAACCTAGTAAAAAGAAAATAACTGTTCACAATCTGGACCCGAACCATTGGCTATAAACAACCATTATAACTACACTGAGAAGCAAGTCACTGCTTGGAACAGCAACGTTAGTCAGTCTCCAGGCAACAACTCTCAGTAAATTGTTATTGTAGCTCTGACTTGCCCAACGCAATGAACGTCTGTCAACCAACGTTTGTTCTTTACAGAATGTATTCAAAATATATTCCAACTGAATTACCGGTCACCAAGCTAATGCCTTGTGTATCATTTCAGCCCCAGTGAAAGAAAACCGATTCCCTGACTCTGTCCCTTCTTAACACTTGGAGTAGAACAGACGTGTTGAGCCCATATACATGGTACCAGACTGTGTGCCCATATACACAGTACCATACTGTGTGCCCAGATACACGGTACCAGACTGCGTGCCCAGATACACGGTACCAGACTGTGTGCCCATATACACAGTACCAGACTGTGTGCCCATTGTTACAAAATGCCTTTTGTAACTTTTCCTTTAAATAACAAATTGCCTTGCTTCCCTGGATTGTGGAGGAGCCTATTTGCCAGCCTCCTCCCCCATGTCCATGGACCGGGTGTGTATGGCCCTTTAAGAACAGTCTGTGAGCATATTGGGGCTTATGGACTTTTTATGGGACTGGTGCTGGCCTTTTAAGCACATTTTTGGGACGTAGAGAAAATTGGGACACTGCCCCTTTAAGACGGTGTCCCCAGACTTGTTTGGGACACTGCCCCTTTAAGACGGTGCCCCCAGTGTCCCCAGACTTGGTTAAAACCCTTTGTTCCTGGCTATTTCCCACTTGGTTCAGTAAATGGGGCTTACTGAACCAAGTACCACACAGGTGGACCACCCAGAAGTGGAAGTGTACAGGCAATTTACCTCCCAGGCTGGGAGCCTGCTGTAGGTAAATTGCCGAACGCTGTGTGGCCGCCATTCGCGCAAACGAATATGTGGCGGCGGCCATCTTTATTCATTCACACGGTCAGCGGTATGTGCAGCCAAATTCATGGAACTAAAATCGGCTGCACATTTCCGCAAACACCTGGACCTTCTCCCACACTGAACTTTCAGCCGCAGAGACTAAGCTCCATTCGGCGATGGGACTTAGTCATTTTTTCAGCCTGAAATTGACCTGCCGCACAGCCCAAATCTATGGAACTGTTTTGGGCAGGAAAATGTGCTTGCCGTCAGGCATAAAGGACTTCCGTCTAACTTTTTATCCACTGAAGGGATTTGTCTGATTTTTGATAGTGTTTACATTTAAAGTGTGCTGGTTCTGAATATTTTATGAAGATTGGACGTATATTTTTAAAGTTATAGTACATGTATAAAAACTGTATTTTTCCTGCCGGTGTTAATTATGTTAAGCATTGTGTACCATAATTATATCACAGGCAGAGGGGAGGATTTTGTGGGAGTGAATGGGTGTGGTTTTACTGTATGCTACGTGCTTTATTGGTTATTTTACAAAAGCCTGTGGGCGGTACTATATTTAGAAAACCTGCATAAAAGAAGGCCCTTTGGAGCCAAGTAATACAGATCTTCTTGACCCTCAATACGTAGCCTTGTCTCTTTATTGGAGGGAACTGCTATATCACACTGGGGATTGCTATGCTCTGCATACTCCCTTGAGCTTTAATCACTAAGCTCTTTTAAGAGCTTGTTCCTGATATGCTCTCCTGGAGGAGAGGTCTTTCCCCACACGGTCCTGGAGGACAGAAGCTGATCCAGGGTGGACGGAAGACGGCGAGACTCCAGTTAAGCTACGGCGGTTGTGGAATCTGCGGTGGTTGTAGTGTCCGGTGCGGTGCTTGTGGTCCTCGGCGCAAGCTAGGAAGCGTTAACGGAAGGTTCCGTTACACCCATATACACAGTACCAGACTGTGTGCCCATATACACGGTACCAGACTGTGAGCCCATATACACAGTACCAAAATGTATGCCCATATACAATATACCAAACTGTGTGCCCATATACACGGTACCAGACAGTGTGCCCATATACACAGTACCAGACAGTGTGCCCATATACACAGTACCAGACAGTGTGCCCATATACACAGTACCAGACAGTGTGCCCATATACACAGTACGAGATTGTGTGCCCATATACACAGTACCAGACTGTGTGCCCATATACAATCTACTAAACTGTGTGCCCATCTACACGCTTCCAGACTGTGTGCAAAACACGCAATTGATTCTACTCCTAATGTGAGAGAATCAAGCACTGCATATTATCAATGTGTTGGGTACATCATGGGGTCCAGTGTCAGACTAACGTTCCCACCATGATTGATGATAAAATGCTAATTTCATTCCAAGTTTGAAACAATCCCAGAAATTAAATTAACAGTCATTGTGTCACATTGTGGCAAAACGTACCGGAATGAAAAGGCTCGGACAGAGGAGTCAGGTGGAGATCTTCCTCTGGATACAGTCCAAGCAGAGGTCCATGTGTTCCGTTTCTGATTTCGATTCTTCCTAGCGCAAAAGAAAACATACAAACCAGTTTGGGCATGTCTTACGCGCTGCGTTATTTTATAAAAGGTTTCATCAAACAATCCCTAATGTCACCCAGAGGAAAATGTGTCTGAGAGCAGCAATCAGAAACAGGACATATCCCAATGCAAACATTAAAGGCTATCACATCACTATCTGCACAGCCCCGTGAATTCCCAACGGCTTACCAGCATGGAAGCAATCCACAGAAAAGCGGAGATTATCTACAGCAAGATGTACCGTGGAATTCCAGCCCCACGATACCAAGAACTGCAGCCGAAATCTAATGACAAAACATTGAGATTCTAGAAGGGCCAATGATTACGAAGATACATTGAGTGTTTCATAGAATAGACAGAACGTTTCTAATGATTATAACTGTGTGTGTGGAGTCCCAGCTGTTCTACATTACCGACAGCTTTGGGTTAATATCATGGAAATATAAGCTAAAGTCACCATATTTCTAAAACGATCACTGCATAGCTGAAGTTTCAAAACAGAATCAGGTTTGTTCAATAGAATCTTAAAACATAAAAACAGGCTAATCTTAGCTGCATATATTAAAAACACTATATCCTCTGAGAAATAGTCTGCTTACGTTTAAGAGACACAGAAGGTTTAAGTCTTCAGGCCATTACTGACGTCAAGACAGCAGCCAAGCAGTTCATTCACATTAAAACAATCGAATGGGCGTCAGGAGTAAATATGAATCTACGGATCATCTCTGTTCAGTTATTAGTGAGGGACCAAGATTTCTCCCATTATTTGAATTAAGAAGGAGGAATGAAGAGTAACCTGAGCTATGTGCTGTAAGGTCTGGGAAATCCACGAGCCAACTTCTTCCACTGTTACAGCTTAGTCCAAAGTAGAGCCAGAGTGTAAGAAGCAGGGGATATATAATATAGTGGTGATAGCAAGCACCCTCTCTGCATTATTTTACCTGCCACCATTGAGTTGGGGCTGGGTGGTGGACAGTGACATGTTTGCCCCCTATTGATAATATTTACTTCCCACCCAATTCCCATGGATGGTGGGAACCAGTGCAAGACCACCCTTCATTAATTTTAGTGGCCCCATCCTAGTAGAATCCCAATACAGCTGTGGAATTCATGGTTGAGCAGTTAATGGCACAAATTATTCTAACATGATGTAAAATATTTTATGTATAGATGGCTCAGTATTTAGAGGGTTTTTAATGGTTCTATTCTCTGTTTTTACCATAGTTTATTACATGGAGTTACTGCGTCCATCCTTACCGGTTTTGGGTCAATGGAACGTCAAGGTTTACTGTAGACCACAAGTCATTGGGAGAACCAGATTGTTCCCAAAGTTTCACAATGTCCTCCAGAGAGTTCTCATCCATGGCATAAAGTACGAGGGACCCATTCAATGTGCCGCTCACAAAAAGGTTAAAACTGAACTGCAATGAGAAACATCCATCTGTCATTGTGAGAGATTGTGTGCAAGCAAATACACTGTATATTTACTATCACTGTCATTTCATTTTGTAAAGGACACAGTGAGCAGGAATATAGTTTAAATGTCAAATACAACAGAATCGCCAATCCCAAATTTTTCAAGTTATTCACAACATTCAGAGTATCGACGTTGAGTACAAAGTGTTTCTGTGAGAAAAGTGCCACATTGTGATACGGCTAGTGGCTGGGCTTCATATTTCTCAATGCGTCCGGTATAAGAAAATAGAAAGTTAGCTAATTATTTTTCAGGAATTTTCTTGCAAGCTATGAATGATAATAAGCACCATACAATCTCTGCCATTCCTTATGAGCTCCCATGCACTGGGTGAAAAGGTGCAATATTAGAATAAACAGTAACATTTTATTTGAATTTCTAAGCTCATTTTGCAGGATTGGACAGTGTCAAAGCAGAGCTCCACATTCAGGATTGAGCCGTTATATTCTGGAGAGAGATAATGGATTATTATTGGTTCCTGATAAAATCTTTAGATACATATTAATAGCTCATACCTGGCAGGATTTTGATAACACCGAAGGCAGCCTTCCACTTGACAGCATGGCGTCTCCAACGCTATGAGTAGTGTGTATTGGCAGGTACAGGAACTGACCTGCAGTAAAACCCCACAGACAAAACAATTTGTTCAATAATAATATTTAACTGGAATTTAAATGAAATCAAGAAATGTTTTGCATTCGGTTTTAACTCCTGAAACGCCACATAATACACTTTGCAACCACCACTGTCTGGTCCCTAAAGATCTCCTGTCAGCAAAGAATGTTTAATTACAGTTGAGTGTTGAATGGGATCCTTAAAGGGGCACTACCAGCACCACAACCACTGCAGCTCAAAGTATAATTCAGAATGTTCCAAGTAGGCAGAGGGGGTCTCTGGGAGCCAGAAAAATATTTTTTTTTGCCATGTTCCAAACCCCCCCTTTTTTTTTATGGTTTTATTTTTTCTTCAAAATTATGCCTTTTCCCCAAAAAATTTGTACATATAGAGAAGTGGGGACTACTTTGAAGAAAGGCTGAAGAAAGGCTTTGCTCAAGCTCCACAGCCTTTGTCAGCTTTGTCATTGGTTGCACCCGCCTGCACACTTCCGGGAGCAGCGAGTCTCTGGCACTCTCATTGACTCTCATACAATTGTGAGAATCAACAAGTCTGTTGGAGGACATGCACTTTGATCGAGGGATCTTACCCGTTACAATTTGACCCGCACGCAAGGGCAAAACGTGAACTTGTTCCCCGCAACACAAAGATGGCAGCGCCATTACAGGAGACCTGGCGCCACCAGCACATTGTTGGAAAAGGTAAGGTACACCAGTCCTTAAATAGGTGTGTTGGGGGGGGACATCAACATTGCAATAAATGGAGCAATCACCATAAAAATGTGTGAAATAGTTAGAGGACGTGACCTGGGACCTACCGCACTATTAACCATTTGGTTGGGGACCAACTATAGAACCCATCTGTCCTAAATGTTATGGGCCAGCAACCCTTCACCTACAATAACGCTATATAAAGATCCACCTGATACCTGTGGTACCCAAGTAAGATGCAATTGGAGACCTGCGAGTCTCACTGACAATATCCGCACTGTTTTCTGTTATTATCTGAACTGCTAATAAAAGCTATATTTACAAAAAAAAAAGAAATGTGTGAAATAAGGAGGAACATGCCACGTTTCCTCAGTGAGTGCTCCACATTTCTGTTAGTAAGACATTTGAGGCCAGTCCTGTTATTATTGCAGATCGCATGGTCTCCAATGTCAGTTTAAGATATTGTACAATTCATTTTCCATGGCTGGGCCTGCAGTCAATGTCCGGCTTCCAATCGTCCATCTTACCTCCTGTAGCTTGGAGAGGGACACTCAGAGGATCTTCTGGATTTATCTCCGCAGAGTTAGTACGTATCCACGATGATCCCGCAGAACCACGCAAAGTCCACCCGCACGTCCCTTCTTCAAAGGAGCAGCGGGAGCCGAAAGGAAGGACATCATCTGAAACCCACAATGTACAAGAAGGGGTTACTGCGGCTTATTGAAATCCTCAAACTGATCACTTTACCCTAATGGCAAACCGGATACAAAGCCTGTGGAGGGGTAAATCAGGTTAAAAAAACTATTTAGCCTCGATCCCAATCCATGGTTCCATAATTGTCTACATGTTACCAGCTGCCAATGGGTCTTTTATGACGCAATAACACCTTTCTGATGTTTCTCAACACTTGTGACAAACTTCACCAGTCAAGCGCAAGTAATCACATTTACGCCAGATAAGATTTATCAACACGTTAACGGAGACATTTTACTTGTATTAAATTCATCATGAAAAAAGGACTTGAGAAACACCTAACGTCACTCTTCACGGGTTGGGGTATAATCAAAACAAATATTACATACATCAAAAACAGTTGTGTGTGTGACTGCATGTGGGACTGTGTCTGTGAATGTGTGAGACTGTGTGTGTGTCTGTGTGTGACTGTGTGTGTGTCTGTCTGCGTGAGTGACTGTGTGTCTGCATGTGTGTGTGACTCTGTGTGAGAGGTTTATACTGTTATACACAGCTTCCAAGGCGATTAGAGAACTTGTAAGCCAATTCTAACCTTGGCAGCATTACGCACAGAAAATAGAGAAGATATTTTTGGATTGTGATTGTGCTAAAAACAAACTTGCGATTCTGGCCAGAGGCATTAAGTTCAGAAACCGTAATCAAATGAAAACAGCCAGGTTGTGGTCCAAGTCTAAGAGGCAGCTACATACAGCGGACTGCAGAAATCCATCAGCGTCCAATAAACTCACCACATAGAGAGTCTTCGTCTTCCCCTCCTGCGCAGTCCTTGTGAAAGTCACAGAGCCGCCGCTGATGGATACAATCCCCATTTTCACAGAGGAAGTACGACGTCTCTCGGCAATGAAACAAATCGTCCTCTTTAATTCCTGAAAGAGATATAGAGAGAGAAAAGAAAAAAAATAATATTTAACTGCAGCTTTATCGTCTACAGCAGGGGTGCCCAATAGGTAGATCCCCAAATGTTGTAGGACCACAACTTCCATGATGCTTTGCATGCTTTTAGAATGACAAATGATGATGGACGTTGTAGTTTTAAACCATCTGGGGGTCTACCTTTGGGAATCCCCTGATCTACAGTGTAGTTATTACTGGCATGTGCTGGTTCTGTGGGACATTGTTGGACTAGTTAGCTAAAACCACTTTATGTTATTAGAATAGAGAGCGGTTATATTCATTCTTTTTATTTTAACCTGCCCAGGATTTTTGGTTTTATATTGGGCGTCAGTGAATAGTAGTCTAACGGAATCCAATTAACCCAGACCAACCTGGACAGAAGTCTCCTGTGCCCACCAAAAATCTCAACCTTATAACAGAAAAAATCTAGAGAGGAACAATTCATTACAGAAACTGTGCTGATACAGGGACAGACCTACCTACCGGTCACTGTGGGAACCGTTAGTCACTGTCACTGACCAGATACAAAGTCCCCACAATATCACAATCATCTCTTGTAACACAAATATATTTACTGATCACAATAGGAAATCTTCTAGAAATCGCCTGAATTCATCAGCTGCAGACAGACCTCCTCCCGCAACATGACATCACGAAAATCTTACCATAAATAAAATTGCTAAATGTTTTTTGTTTTTTTTTAATGTTAACATGTCTTAAAACGAGCAGAAAATAAAACGTTGCCTCTTTCAGAGTAGCAGCTGATTTATTTTTCATTGTTCACTTCCCTGGTATCTTGATGGCTACACCCTGATGAACATCATTTTTTTCATTAATAAACCGAAATAAATGGTGTCTCTGCTAAAGTACTTCTTGTACACATTGTTATACGATTATTTCCCTGGGGGACAAAGCAGAGCAAAAAGACTATAGTTTAAAAATGATAAAGGAATGATAGAACCTATAAAGAGGCCGGTTAGTGAAATGCCGGGTACCGTGTACAGGTCATGTCTGTTAGCACTAAATGTGCTCATTACGTAAGGTGATCTTCACAGAAAAATCAGAGCTTCATGTAAACAGGAAACAGCAACATCTGGTCAGTTCATTATGAGTTCTGCGCTCATTAACCGTGACAAATCACTGAAATTATGTAAAAGTGACAGGTCTCTCCTTCTGAGAACGACAGTTTCTCTTCAATTTTACCTTCAAAGCAGTTTCTGAGGTTCAGGGAATCCAGAGCTAGAAGTTTATCTTCATTCAGCCCGCAGGACGTAGAACGCAGAGAGATCTGAAAACGTTCATTTATTTCCCCAATCTCCCACGACAGAGACTTCCAGTTGGATAATCTTAATGGACAGAAATCCAAAATACAGTAAAAAAAAAAAAAAGAAATGGTTTATTATTCCTTTATCTAACATCTTCCCAGTGTAGCGGTTTACCCACTCATCGAACCTCACCATCCATCGAACCTCACCTTCTATCCACTAATGTTCAAACATTCAATACTCCAGAACATGACTCATGGCTCCTCTTATTTTAAATGCTCCAATGGCCACAAACCAACATTTCTCTTTTAAATGGTTTATACTCCTATACCTCTAGAAACCTCACACGTCCCAAATGGTGCTTGTACGTCATCCACTACAACCCTACCAATTCATTCTACCCCTGGTCCTCCCCATGCTCTCCACCATAGCCATTGCCCCATGTCCTTCACCACAACCCCATGCCCTCCACCACAAACCCATGCCCTTCACCACAGCCATTGCCCCACGTCCTTCACCACAACCCCATGCCCTCCACCTTAACCCCATGCCCTCAACCACAGCCATATGCCCTATGTCCACAACCCCATGCTCTCCACCACAACCTCATGCCCTCTACCACAATCCTGTGCTCTCCACCACAGCTATTGCCCCATGTCTTTCACCACAGCCCCATGCCCTCCACCACAACCCCATGCCCTTCACTGTAATCCCATGCCATATACCAAAACCACATGCTCTTCACCACAGCCATTCCCCATGCCTTTCACCACAACCCCATGCCCTTCACCACAACCATTCCCCATGCTCTACACCACAACCCCATGCCCTCCACCATAACCCCATGGCCTCCACAACCCCATTCCCTCCACCACAGCCGTTATCCCATTCCCTCCACCGCATCCATTATCCCACTCCCTCCAACGCATCCATTATCCCACTCCCTCCAACGCATCCATTATCCCACTCCCTCCAACGCATCCATTATCCCACTCCCTCCAACGCATCCATTATCCCATTCTCTCCACCACATCCATTATCCCACTCCCTCCACCGCATCCATTATCCCATTCCTTCCACCGCATCCATTATCCCATTCCCTCCACCGAATCCATTATCCCAAACCCTTCACCGCATCCATTATCCCACTCCCTCCACCGCATCCATTATCCCACTCCCTCCACCACATCCATTATCCCACTCCCTCCACCACATCCATTATCTCATTCCCTCCACCACATCCATTATCCCATTCCCTCCACCACATCCATTATCCCATTCCCTCCACCACATCCATTATCCCACTCCCTCCACCACATCCATTATCCCACTCCCTCCACCACATCCATTATCCCACTCCCACAACCACATCCATTATCCCACTCCCACAACCACATCCATTAACCCATACCCTCCACCACATCCATTACCCCACACCCTCCACCACATCCATTACCCCACACCCTCCACCACATCCATTACCCCACTCCCTCCCCCACATCCATTACCCCACTCCCTCCCCCACATCCATTATCCCACTCCCTCCCCCACATCCATTATCCCACACCCTCCACCGCATCCATTATCCCACACCCCTCACATCCATTTACCCCACTCCCTCCACCGCATCCATTATCCCATTCCCTCCACCGCATCCATTATCCCACACCCTCATCCATTATCCCATCCATTATACCCTCCACACCTCCACCACCACATCCATTACCCATTCCCTCCACCACATCCATTAACCCATTCCCTCCACCACATCCATTAACCCATACCCTCCCCCACATCCATTATCCCACACCCTCCAACGCATCTATTATCCCACTCCCTCCAACGCATCCATTATCCCACACCCTCCACCGCATCCATTACCCCACTCCCTCCACCGCATTCATTATTCCATTCCCTCCAACGCATCCATTATCCCACACCCTCCACCACATCCATTATCCCATTCCCTCCACCACACCCATTATCCCACTCCCTCCACCACATCCATCGTCCCATTCCCTCCACCACATCCATTATCCCATTCCCTCCACCACATCCATTTTCCCATTCCCTCCACCACATCCATTATCCCATTCCCTCCACCACATCCATTATCCCATTTCCTCCACCACATCCATTATCCCATTCCCTCCCCCACATCCATTATCCCATTCCCTCCATCACATCCATTATCCCATTCCCTCCACCACATCCATTATCCCATGCCAATGTTCAGCCTCTTCATACCCCTGAAAACTAAGCTATTCACAAACACCTTTTGGGACATTCCTGAACTTCCTTTAAACCAAACCGTCTCAATCCAACTCATATTATTCTTACTCTTATATCGCTCCCCCTCTAGCAGGACATTCATTTATTCATTTATGTAACCCCTGTTATCCTTTCCCCAGATTATCCGAATTAATCTACTCCTATTCCATCACCTGATAGAAATGACCAATTATTCACGATTAATGCACTCTTGGCATATTTGTTATTATTTTTGTTGTACTATTTCCAGTATTCCAATCAGAGATAAGAAATGATAAAGAGGGGGAAGAAGAAATGATATAATTTAGAATCACCATCCCACGTTTGCTCAATGAAACCCACAATATTGGCAGTTTATTGGCCGAGCCATGGGGGAGCCATGACTGTCGGCAGGGAAATCGTTCCATGTGATGGTTTTAAGAAAATCACCAAAACTGGCTTTACTCTCCGTAAGATTCATCTTTGGATCCAAATTCTGCAATTTGAAGTGAAGTAAAATCCGTTTCACTACTGGCCTACAGCGGTAAAGAAATATCAGCCGAAGGTGTTAAGGCCGTTCAATAACGAACAGATAACCAATCGGCACCCGATATAAGGCAATGTGAGTTGGCCAGAACATGCCGTTCTTTGTTTATAGGGCTGGTTTTTGTCTTTTATATGTCGTAGGAACGTACGAGTCCCATTCGGTGCGCTTTATCTGGGACCTGCGTGACCTACAGCGATTTCCTTGTTTATACGTGATAAGTTATGTTTATATAAATAAGAGTTAAGACCTGCATGTCTCCTTACACCCTACAGGTTTTTGTGACCTATGGGTCCCGCTGTGTTATATGAAAACCCTACAATAGAAAGAATGTTATTAAAAATAACTAAAAAATCTTTTCCACTAAAGGCAGTAAGAGATTTAAAGAGGCCACGCTAAGTGCTGGATATTGCTCACTATGACCTTTCACAGTCGGTGCCCAGAAAGACATTTTAGTTACTTCCTTTTCTATCGGCCCTATTGTTTGAGAATGATAGATATTTACTGGAAAAGCAAAATGTTCATTTAGCCAACACTGAGCAGAGTATCCTCTGCAAGAACGATCAAAGTTCATTTAATAAATGGGATTATCTGTGGCCGTATGAACCATTCCTTCCCAAACCCGGCAATCTTTCATTCTCTGTCTACTCCATTTATCAACGTCGCACTGAATTGCTAAAACATGTCGGCTTTTCCTAAACTTGCCCTTTCTTCAGCCGTTAACAAGCAAAACAAGTGGCTCAGCATCCAGAAACTATAGCAGTCGATATGGGGGTTTATTTACTAAACTGAGATTTCACTAGGCCAAAGTAGCCGAGCAAGAATTGGTGAATATTTCCGGTTCAGCTGCTTTGGCCTTTTTATTATACACATTTCCTAATTAATTGAATAAAACCCACGTTATTTTGGCCTAATGTGTTCCGTCCCAAATCACTGCAGTACAATCACCATTTACTGAATTAACTAACAGTCCCAAAATATAAAGATATATTCGCTAACGTTACAGTATAAAGTGTGCATTTACCTTGGACACAATGTATCCTCGGTAATGACTGCATTACCAGTGAGTCACTCCCAGGGTTAGAATGCAGTATCATTGTGTAATGTCGGCCCAGGCCAGCTCTGCTCGCGAATCTCGCAATGTTCCCAGCTCTACCAATTATTGCACAGCCAGAGCCTGCAGTGCAGTCAATGGGCCCGGAAAGGCTTCTCTGAGCCAAGTCAATTTTATTAATGGAACGAGGATTCATCCCCTAACGAAAGCAGCCAAGGCAGCTCACTGCGGTGTTCTCACCACGAAAACCCACGATGTAAAAATACCTTCCAAATTGATTTTCTGTCAAATGTACGTACAGCAGCTATTGATATTCAGCTAGTCAATGGAGAGCATTAGACGCCATTACTGCTGTGTGTTCCCTTCTATAGACTATGTCCGTGGCCACAGGAACAAGCCACCGCCTAAACTGGCCACTCGATGAGAGTGGGCGAGGGGGTAAAGAGACCGAGTATGAGTGGATGCATGTAGGGGGTTACCGAGGTCCAACATCAAAATCCCAATTAAAGGGACACTATAGTCACCTGAACAACTTTAGCTTAATGAAGCAGTTTTGGTGTATAGAACATGCCCCTGCAGCCTCACTGCTCAATCCTCTGCCATTTAGGAGTTAAATCCCTTTGTTTATGAACCCTAGTCACACCTCCCTGCATGTGACTTGCACAGCCTTCCATAAACACTTCCTGTAAAGAGAGCCCTATTTAGGCTTTCTTTATTGCAAGTTCTGTTTAATTAAGATTTTCTTATCCCCTGCTATGTTAATAGCTTGCTAGACCCTGCAAGAAGAGCAATAGTTATTATTTAAGGTAAATTACATCTGTTTGAAAGTGAAACCAGTTTTTTTTTCATGCAGGCTCTGTCAATCATAGCCAGGGAGGTGTGGCTAGGGCTGCATAAACAGAAACAAAGTGATTTAACTCCTAAATGACAGTGAATTGAGCAGTGAAATTGCAGGGGAATGATCTATACACTAAAACTGCTTTATTTAGCTAAAGTAATTTAGGTGACTATAGTGTTCCTTTAATATCACTCTCCAAATTGGCATTAAAGGACCACTATAGTGCCAGGAAAACATACTCATTTTCCTGGCACTATAGTGCCCTGAGGGTGCCCCCACCCTCAGGGACCCCCTCCCGCCCGGCTCTGGAAAGGGGAAAGGGGTAAAACTTACCTTTTTCCAGCGCTGGGCGGAGAGCTCTCCTCCTTCTCTCCTCCTCCGTTCCGCCCCGTCGGCTGAATGCGCACGCGCGGCAAGAGCTGCGCGCGCATTCAGCCAGTCGCATAGGAAAGCATTTACAATGCTTTCCCATGGACGCTGGCGTGCTCTCACTGTGATTTTCACAGTGAGAAGCACGCAAGCGCCTCTAGTGGCTGTCAATGAGACAGCCACTAGAGGATTAGGGAGGAAGGCTTAACCCATTCATAAACATAGCAGTTTCTCTGAAACTGCTATGTTTATAAAAAAATGGGTTAACCCTAGAAGGACCTGGCACCCAGACCACTTCATTAAGCTGAAGTGGTCTGGGTGCCTAGAGTGGTCCTTTAAAGGTCAATGTGGAGAGAATCCAGATAGATGAGAGGCCTCGGGTTATGAACTCACCATCTGCTCAGTACTAAATAAACATGAATGAGGACTAGGACACCTACGAGAAGCTAACGGATTGACGAAAGGCACTGGATCAGTTATATAACGGCATACCTTAACCCTGCCATATGCGTTACAGAACACCATGTATGTAGTAATAACCTTATACAGAAAGTTATGGAGCCAAGCACACCGTGCCATGACATAGTTTTAATCCACGCTGGAGAAAATCTACTAAAGTAAGTTAGTAAAAAGGTTTTACGCTATTCTTTGCACAATAACCGGAAATCTGAACGAATGATTAGATCTTATTGTTTTTTTAGAATGATTAGGGACACGTTGTCATACACTGAAATGTCTCACCTTGCAGTGGAATCCGCCTCCTTCTGATGAAGTACTGGTAGACTGAAATTTGCTTTGGCGCTCTGAATCATTACGCTCAATATGTCAGACAGCGAGTCAACCGGATTATAAACGGCTACTTCAAGGAAACAGGTCCTAGAGCTTCCAGGAAAAACGGGGCTGAGCAGCTGAGGCTCACGGCAGGTTTCCGAGGTCCGACTCACATTGAGAACAAGCACTCCTTCTACAATGAGTAAATCAAGCGATAAAAATACAGATCACAACTCACGGAAAGACCCAGTCACCTAACATTTTATACCATAAGAGTATTTGTGACCCACCTCTCTCTCCGTTTAAATCCACCTATTTTCCCCCTGGAGATGATACTCCTCTGTCCAGCTAATAATAGCTGTATATTTCTGGAATGATCACTAATCCTGGCCCTAGGGTGCCCACCATGACCCGGGTCTATTCCACCAAGAGTGAAATATTTAGCCTTTCCAACAGTAAGTACCAGAACAGCTCCACATTCTCAGCCAACGAATATCAGATAACTTACATTGTCTTCAGAGAGCGTACAGCAGACTTTCATACTCTATGGAATCCATGGTACTGTTGGCAAGAGGGGCCATTGCCCCCCAGGCCATTGGCACACTGGGCTTGTATTGTGGGTTGCGGCTCCAAAGAACCATTCTGTTACAGATTAAAAGCAGCAGGAGGTGTGTTGGGATGTCTGATGGCAGAATACCGCCTCAATAAGGCAACGTTCTGGCTTTATAGCCCTGCACTGCGTGACTGGTGGCCGTCAGTCTCTATACCCTTGGTCATATCTTAATATCAAATCAATAAACCTGTTATATACCCTATAATGTGGCAGTTTATAGAGTGGTATAATAAGAGATCTATTGATCGCATCAGCAGCTCATTCTAACCAACTGCATACTATTTGTACCGTGAATGCCTTTTCCAGATCTTTCTTCCAGGAGCCGTATCTGCTGTTGTATCGCCAACGCTCCAATCATGGTTTGTACCCAGTGCGGACTGCCATCCTCCGCCATGGAGGACATCCATTGACAATGTGCTTCAAAGTCACACAAGGTTCCTGGAGGAATATACAGAGGGTATTTACATCATAATTATTAACAGCGAGAATAACTGTTTATTTAAGTCATTCTAAGACATCTTGTGTTTCAGACACCAAAGACCTTATTTTAGCCCGTTTCATATTACCCAATCTTAATTTAGGGATTTGGTTAGAATTAATTTTTTTATAAAACATTATGTTTGCTTCAAACAGAAATACTTTATAAGGCATCAGCTGACTGCCAAAAGATGTGGATATAAATTAAAAGGATTACCTGAAAGAATCCTGATCCGGGTATCTTTCAAAGCAGCAATTATGAAATAAATGCCTCTTCGTAGGGGAGTAGATTTTAACCTTTAATATTTTAACTTTTGTATTTTATAATATATTATATACAAAGTACATGTTTTTTCTTAAATCAAACACTCAGAGATAAGAAGTAAGACATAGACATATCAGCATCGGCAAATCCAGACATAGCAGCAGCCCAGACTTACCTGATGACTGAGGCATCATCGGCAAAACTTTCTCCTCCATGTGACTGGCAGACATGCTTGTTATGGGCAAACCAGGAGTCAAGATGGATTCAGCATGAAGACCAGAGCACCAGTCAGCAACTATGGTATGGAGTACAGAAAAGTCACATGAAATTGTATTCTGCTACATATATTAATTATTGAACAAAAATACCAATTGGACAATGATATATTTTCCAAAGAACCATGAATCAGGAGGCCACACCATCACCACTATTTGTGTTTTGAGACAATATGAATTCTTCATTCTGAGGAGCAGAACTTGTAGTGCTGCCCAGCAATATGTGGAACCAATATATTCCTGGTGTGAAATTGAACTAATGAATCACTGCAGTTCCGATAAAACCCTGTCCGTGATAATTTCAATTTATTTCACACCAGTAGCTGCATAATGGTCTTATTTCAACCCCTAAAACTCAGAATAAAAAATAACACCCTAAAAAACGGTGAGGTACCTACCAATTCTATGCACAATGCACCTTATAATAGGAAGTCACCAGGATTTCCTGAGAAAACAAATACTGCCGATCACCACAAAGACGTGATCAGGGTCAACGAGTCCATGGTGGATTTGCCAACCCAAGACGTGGTCCGTAACAATCAAGGGAGACAAAGAGGGGAAAAAAAAAAAAGCTGTGATGTGTTCACATTTCATAAAAAAGATAAGATCACATCCCAGCGATGAATCGCAGCCAGGTGTCCTTTCACACCTCCTATTTTGTAATTATATCTGGACATCTTGTGCCCTCCATCTGCCCGACCTAGACTTCTCTTCTCCTCCCCATAGGATATCTGACAGATGGTGATAGGAGCAGGCCTCGAAACATCCGCAGTTTCTCCGAAACCAAAGAACAAACTCGACCCTTACTCGATACTTTATACCGTTTACATACTATGCTAATTATCATAATTAGAGATTTAACAAGCACATGAAGTAAAGATACTGACTTATCAGTGTGTGAGTCACGGTGTCATAACAATAAATACATTCTCTACTCATTTAGCGAGAACGACCTCTTTAACTCTCCTGTAAGGTCTCCATTAATGACAACCAATTCAGAGCCTTAATAAGCGCGCAGACTGGACGCGCCCTCTGCCAGGTATACATGCAAAATATCAATATGTATCTATCTAGAAAGTCCGTTTTAAAAGGACTGCACTTCTAAAGAAATACCTTCCATAGTTTTCACACTCCCCAGTAAGAACGGGTGTCTTATCTGAAGTAAAGTGGATAAGGCTGTAATTACTGCAGTTATCCAGCTCCCAACGCTACAGAATGTGAGTGCAGAAGGCTCATCTGGGTTCGTCTACTACCAAATTAAAAAACATTTTTGAAAAAATGAAACAAAAATGTAAAAAATTAAAAAAGAAATCACACCACGCAATTTACCTTTAATTTATTTATTTATTTTATTTAAATACATTTTATGAATTAGGTGCTTTTGGATGGTGAAAATAGGAATATATAATTTAGCTTAAAGGGACACTATAGTCATCAGAACAACTTTAGCTTAATGAAGCAGTGTTGGTGTATGGATCATGTCCCCGAAGTCTCACTGCTCAATTATCTGCTATTTAGGAGATAAATCCCTTTTGTTTCTGTAGCTCTACCCATGCCTCCCATGGCTGTCACTCACACAGCCTGCATGACATAAAAAAAGGTTTTAATTTGAATCCGATGCAACTTACTTTAGACATTGTTATCTCCTGCTCTGTAAATTGAACTTGAATCAAACACAGGAGGTTTCTGCTGGGTCTAGCAAGTTATTAACAGAGCAGGAGATAAATTCTAAATTAAACCGACTGTGCAATAAAAGGTGTAAACATTAGATGACTCTTTGCAGGAAGTGTTTAGGTAGGGTGTGTAAGTCACATGCAGGGAGGTGTGGCTGGGGCAGATAAAATTAGTTTTTAACTCATAAATAGCAGAGAATGTAGCCCTATGGAGCAAACGCACAGTATAGTGGAAAGGGGCCTTGACAGGGCTAGGAGGCGGGCATAGCTATGTAGGGATTGGTGGTTTAGAGGGTTAGGGGCTGGGCTACAGAAATAGGAAATTCACTTTTAACTTGCCTACCTGGCTGAGTTTGTCCCACCCTCCCTCACTGGTTTTAATGGTGGGGTTGTCCCGTTTTGTCACAGCAGGCGCGATAGGGAGCTGAAGGATAGGAAATAGGCTCTCCATGAGGATGGTTATGGAAATGGTGAATATAGTTCTTGGTAAGTTTGGTAGGTTTCGAGCCCTGTCGGTGGCACAGAACCTGGTGGGGTAGGGGTATTTGGGTATACCCCTACCATGGTTAATTAAAACATTGGCACTTTAATTTATGTTCATGTTTGACATACTGTTGTGTGTATATATTATTATTATTATTATGATATTTATAAAGCGCCGTCAAATTCCGCAGCACTTTACAATGGGTGGAAGAACAGACATGTAGTTGTAACCAGACAAGTTGGACACACAGTAACAGAGGGGTTGAGGGCCCTGCTCAGTGAGTTTACATGTTAGAGGGAGTGGGGTATAGTGACACAGTAACAGAGGGATTGAGGGCCCTGCTCAGTGAGTTTACATGTTAGAGGGAGTGGGGTATAGTGACACAGTAACAGAGGGATTGAGGGCCTGCTCAGTGAGTTTACATGTTAGAGGGAGTGGGGTATAGTGACACAGTAACAGAGGGATTGAGGGCCTGCTCAGTGAGTTTACATGTTAGAGGGAGTGGGGTATAGTGACACAGTAACAGAGGGATTGAGGGCCTGCTCAGTGAGTTTACATGTTAGAGGGAGTGGGGTATAGTGACACAGTAACAGAGGGATTGAGGCCCTGCTCAGTGAGTTTACATGTTAGAGGGAGTGGGGTATAGTGACACAGTAACAGAGGGATTGAGGGCCTGCTCAGTGAGTTTACATGTTAGAGGGAGTGGGGTATAGTGACACAGTAACAGAGGGATTGAGGGCCCTGCTCAGTGAGTTTACATGTTAGAGGGAGTGGGGTATAGTGACACAGTAACAGAGGGATTGAGGGCCCTGCTCAGTGAGCTTACATGTTAGAGGGAGTGGGGTATAGTGACACAGTAACAGAGGGATTGAGGGGCCTGCTCAGTGAGTTTACATGTTAGAGGGAGTGGGGTATAGTGACACAGTAACAGAGGGATTGAGGGCCTTGCTCAGTGAGTTTACATGTTAGAGGGAGTGGGGTATAGTGACACAGTAACAGAGGGATTGAGGGCCTGCTCAGTGAGTTTACATGTTAGAGGGAGTGGGGTATAGTGACACAGTAACAGAGGGATTGAGGGCCCTGCTCAATGAGTTTACATGCCTTTTAGATCTAACTGTGGGGGGTACTGATGTGGTATGACGGGGTGTGGGGGCAATGACTTTTTCAAAGTTATAAAATAAAAGCTTTGGACAATTTTTACCCATATACCTTAGTGTCCGTGTTTTATTGGGTTAGGTATGTAGGGGGTTGTTTTGATAACCCCTGCCCATATGGCGACAATGCACCTGTCATGCAGCAGTGAAACATCAGAGGCATAAACTATAGTCCAAAACTAGATCATTAAGATAATGTTGTTTTGATGACTATAGTGGCCATTTAATTAAAAATACAATTAAAAAACCCTTATGATTTACATGTAACTTATTTAAAGTGTATGTGCCTATTATGCTGTATGGTGATACATGAGCAGTACACAGGATAAATAATATTATGTATAATAGGATTCCGCTGGACAGGGCTCGGGCTATACATGAAAAGTGCTGCCAGATTTGTAGCTGTGACCCATACATTTCAAGGTTCAGTGTTTAGGGGGGCAGTGAAAGCTGCGCTTATACTCCTTGGCATAGAGGCTGGCTGAGCACCATGGGAGTTGTAGTTCACAAACTATGGGCAGCCAATCTCATCCTTTGTGCTCTATGGCAAACACAGGGAAGATGAAGAGAGCTTCAGGGAGGATTTGCGTTTTTTTTTTTTATCTTTAACAAGGTCATTAGAGAAACATTTTAATGGAAATTAAATCAGGGACTGGTTCTGGCACAAACCATATGGAATGAATGCGGAAAGCACTACAGCAGCCTGCGTGGGTGATCTGCAAACAGGAGGAAATACTGGCCATAAAGATTTAAAAAAACAAAAACAAATGCTTCCTGCAGACTTTTTTATCTCTATATACCACCATAGACCATTATACACCGCCATACATCTCTCAACACCGCCATAGACCTCTATACCCCGCCATATACCTCTCTTCACCTCCATAGACCTCTCCACACTCCACCATAAATTTCAACACCGCCATATACCTTTATACCGCCATATATCTCTACAACGCCATACACCTTTATACTACCATATACCTCTCTACAATGCCATAGACCCCTTGACACTGCCATATACCTCTATACCCCACCATATACCTCTCTTCACCGCCATAGACCTCTCTATACCCCGCCATAGACCTCTCCACACTCCACCATATACCTTTATACTGCCATATACATCTCTACAATGCCATAGACCTCTTGACACTGCCATATACCTCTATACCCCACCATATACCTCTATACCCCACCATATACCTCTATACCCCACCATATACCTCTCTTCACCGCCATAGACCTCTCTTCACCGCCATAGACCTCTATACCCAGCCATTTACCTCTCTTCACCGCCATAGACCTCTATACCCCGCCATATACCTCTCTGCAATGCCATATACCTCTATACATCCAGCCATAGATCTCTCTCCACCGCCATATAACTCTATACCCCACCATAGACCTCTATACCCCACCATATACCTCTTTCCAACGCCATATACCTCTCAACACCGCCATAGACCTCTATACCCTGCTATAGACCTCTGTACCCCTCCATACACCTCTATACCCCGCCATATACCTCTCGACACTTCCATATACTTCTACAATGCCATATACCTCTACACAATGCCATATACCTCTCTATACCCCACCATAGACCTCTCGACACCGCCATATACTTCTACAACACCATATACCTCTCTCCAATGCCATATACCTCTATACACCCAGCCATAGATCTCTCTCCACTGCCATAGACCTCTATACCCCGCCATATACCTCTTTCCAATGCCATATATCTCTTGACACTGCCATAGACCTCTATACCCCGCCATAGACCTCTCGACACTGCCATATACTTCTACAAGGCCATATACCTCTCGACACTGCCATATACCTCTCGAGACCGCCTTATACCTCTCGAGACCGCCTTATACCTCTCGAGACCGCCTTATACCTCTCGACACCGCCTTATACCTCTCGACACTGCCTTATACCTCTCGACACTGCCTTATACCTCTATACCTCTACAATGCCATATACCTTTATACCTCTACAACGCCATATACCTCTACACCCAATCATAGACCTCTCGACACCCTACAATAGACCTCTCGACACGCTGCCATAGACCTCTCGACACCCTGCCATATACCTCTCGACACCCTGCCATATACCTCTCGACACCGCCTTATACCTCTCGACACCGCCTTAAACCTCTCGACACTGCCTTATACCTCTCGACACTGCCTTATACCTCTATACCTCTACAATGCCATATACCTCTACAATGCCATATACCTTTATACCTCTACAACGCCATATACCTCTACACCCAATCATAGACCTCTCGACACCCTACCGTAGACCTCTCGACACGCTGCCATAGACCTCTCGACACCCTGCCATAGACCTCTCGACACCCTGCCATAGACCTCTCGACACCCTGCCATAGACCTCTCGACACACTGCCATAGACCTCTCGACACACTGCCATAGACCTCTCGACACCCTGCCATATACTTCTACAACTCTATATACCTCTATAACCCGCCATATACCTCTCTATACCCCACCATAGACCTCTCGACACCCCGCCATATACCTCTCTCCAATGCCATATATATCTCTATACACCACCATATATCTCTCGAACCCGCCATATACCTCTCTCCACCGCCATATACCTCTCTCCAATGCCATAGACCTCTATACCCCGCCACAGACCTCTCGACATTGCCATAGACCGTCTCAGTGGTCTTACGTATTCCCAGATTGCACCGCAGCAATCTATAATGAATGCGGTGGCGAGACTCACCTACATTGGCTTCCAGTTACATATAGGGCTTAACTTAAGATTCTGTTGCTTGCTTACAAGTCCTTACATAATGCTGCTCCAACCTACCTATCCTCCCTAATACACAAATATGTCCCGTTGAGGCCCCTGCACTCTGCCGAAGACCATACTCCCACCTCTGATGCTCGCCTTCAGGATTTCTCCAGGGCTGCACCTTTTCTGTGGAACTCACCTCCCTCCTCCATTAGATGCTCACCCAGTCTCCACTCCTTCAAAAAAAAAAATCATTATAAACTCACTCATTCATTCCCCCCCACCACGACTCCTCTCCTGCAACTGTATTCTAGTAACCTATTTCATTACCACATATACCTATATCTTTTGTGTCACTATACCCCACTCCCTCTAGCATGTAAACTCACTGAGCAGGCCCTCAATCCCTCTGTTACTGTGTCACTATACCCCACTCCCTCTAACATGTAAACTCACTGAGCAGGCCCTCAATCCCTCTGTTACTGTGTCACTATACCCCCACTCCCTCTAACATGTAAACTCACTGAGCAGGCCTCAATCCCTCTGTTAGCCTGCCCCCACTCCCCTCCCTAACATGTAAGCCTCACTGAGCAGGGCCCCTCAGCCTCTGTTACTGTGTCACTATCCCCCATCCCCTCTAACATGTAAACTCACTGAGCAGGCCCTCAATCCCTCTGTTACTGTGTCACTATACCCCATTCCCTCTAACATGTAAACTCACTGAGCAGGCCCTCAATCCCTCTGTTACTGTCACTATACCCCACTCCCTCTAGCATGTAAACTCACTGAGCAGGCCATCAATCCCTCTGTTGCTGTCACTATACCCCACTCCCTCTAACATGTAAACTCACTGAGCAGGCCCTCAATCCCTCTGTTACTGCCACTATACCCCACTCCCTCTAACATGTAAACTCACTGAGCAGGGCCCTCAATCCCTCTGTTACTGTGTCACTATACCCCATTCCCTCTAACATGTAAACTCACTGAGCAGGGCCCTCAATCCCTCTGTTACTGTGTCCCTATACCCCACTCCCTCTAACATGTAAACTCACTGAGCAGGGCTCAATCCCTCTGTTACTGTCACTATACCCCACTCCGTCTAACATGTAAACTCACTGAGCAGGCCCTCAATCCCTCTGTTACTGTGTCACTATACCCCACTCCCTCTAACATGTAAGCTCACTGAGCAGGGCCCTCAGTCCCTCTGTTTCTGTGTGTCCATTTGTCTGGTTACAATTGTTAGTCCTTCCATTGTACAGCGCTATGGAATTTGCTGGAGCTATATAAATAATAAAATAAATAATAGTAATTACATGTGGCAGAACAGAGGGCAGGCACCAATTCATTCACAATAAAATCAGCCCTCTGCATTAAATGACCCCCCTGTAATTAGCATTAAACAAACCCAGTGTAAATGGCATTCTACTTGTAAGTGCACATACTTGCTAACTTTTGGAAAAAATAATTTCCAGGTACACCTTTTGTCAAGTATACGCACAGATACATGTACATACATTGACAGACACCAACACATACAGTAACACACACAGAAATCTCTCTTCCTGTGGGCCCCAAGTTGGCTGAGTTGGTTCAACCTCTGTAATGTGGTACAGCAATCCAAAACATGGACTAGTCCTGGCAAATTGAGGACAGATGGTAACTCTGAATGTGGAAGATACGCTGCACCCACGGTTTAGCTACGTGAATGAGGAGTAATATTTTGTGCCTGCATGTGCTGTGAGAATCTGCGTAATAACTGCAGCCCAGAATAGCTTGTCAGAGGCAGCATGACACCGGGCCAGGTCAGCGTAGCAGGTAGTAAACGGAGCGTGACACAGAGACGTGTTTGTGAAAGAATATATTCCTTCCCGAAGCACTAATATCTCCAGGAGTCCTCTAAGCAACGCTGAAGGAGAGAATGTTGAACCAACGCCGAGCCAAGTTCGGGACGCACTATGCCATTTCTCATCTGAATGGCATGGATTCAAAAACACAAATACTGCACATCTTACAACTTCTGCCAAGTTTCAGCCATTTATTGAATAATACCGAGCATAAACAGGGCACGTTAACAACTCACTACAAAAATCCAGAATATGCAGAGACAAATTACAGGTACAGTGAATTAACGATGCAGCAAACAAAACCAAAAATCAGCAACGTCAGCCAAGAAACCTTGTGTCTTAAAAGCACCGACCTCTACACCAGCTTCAACCTACTCTGGAATAGTCACATCTAAATCACGGTGGGCTTTGTTCACTAAATAGGACATTGGTGTGAATTGAAAACTGAATGGAAACTAAATTTAGTCAAAATGTGTGGATTTTAAAAGTTTCTCTAACTCTGCTAAAGTAACAGCTCGGCTATTTTAGGAAAAACTTAGCCTAAAAATGATCCATCCTGCTTCCTGTGAGCTTTGAGCTTATCCCATCTAATTCTATATGTGACAGAACGCTCCGTCACTTATTTGACTTTCCTGTCAGTTACCGAACGAAAACCTATTTCCCCACCCTCTGGCTCATTAAAGGACCACTCTATGCACCCAGACCACTTCAGCTTAATGAAGTGGTCTGGGTGCCAGGTCCAGCTAGGGTTAACCCATTTTTTAATAAACATAGCAGTTTCAGAGAAACTGCTATGTTTATGAATGGAGATTAAGCCTTCTAATCACTCTAGTGGCTGTCTGGCAGCGGCTAGGCGATAACTTCTCCGCTGCGCGTTTCACGGTGAGACGCAAAATCCCATAAACATTATGTACTTTTCCTATGCGGCGAAGCTGAATCTTGTGGCGCTTGGCTTCTTTGCAGCGGCGATGCGCATTTCAACAGGGGAGGAGGATCGGAGGAGGAGAGCTCCCCGCCCAGCGCTGGAAAAAGGTAAGTTTTTAACCCTTTCCCCCTTCCAGAGCCGGGCGGGAGGGGGACCCTGAGGGTGGGAGCACCCTCAGGGCACTATAGTGCCAGGAAAACGAATATGTTTTCCTGGCACTATAGTGGTCCTTTAACTTCAAATAACCCATTAACTTAAGTGCTCTTTCTGGGTGGCGCCATTCGTATGACCGAAGGAGAGCGTTTTTTGGGAAAAAGACTCATGCGAACATGAGGAACATTCGCTCCCTACAACCAGGGGGAGCATTCGGTTTTTGAGCGCACAGGAACTCTTGAAAGTTGACCGGCTGCAGTCTTTTTCTCCATGGAACTGTTTTGGGCAACAACCTCATGGCCGGCTGATAAAAACTTTACCCCTGTGGTGATTCCATTCCACAGAACGGATCCGAAAGCTATTTGGTCAACTTGGGCACTCAGATCCAGGCTATTCAGGGATAAAAGACTTGTGGGGTTCCTGTGGAAATAGAGTGTGGCTTTGGGGTATTTTCTATGTTGGTCCCAGTAACAGAGACATAATTAAGTTATCGGTCCTTGACTCCATTATCTCCCAGACATAGGGACACCTGGAAAGGGTTTGTATTTCTTTGTATGGAGACCCCATGCTGGTGGTCTGTGTATAAATGGAGTGTGCCTTGCATTAAATAAACCAGATTACCCCCAGCATTAAGGCTCGACTAATCTCTGGGTCAAGGAGCTATATCACTTTATCCTGCTATAATCACTGAAGACGGTGCTGACTGAGATACTGGGAAGGGGGAAGGACATCCTTGGTGGCAAGACTTGGAGGCCCGTCCCTCACAGTGCCCTCATATACGGGGTTATTCACTAAAGTGAGAATTCAAGTCAATTTCAAGATCTTGGCCAGCATATCTAAACCAGAAGCATAGAGGATTTAGATATGGTTTTCAATTTAGCAACTTTGGTCTTAAAGGGACACTATAGTCACCTGAACAACTTCAGCTTAATGAGGTTGTTCAGGTGAGAACTATAGCTTCCTGCAGCCTTTCTCATGGAAACACTGTATTTTCTGAGAAAATACAGTGTTTACATTGAAAGCTAGGAACACCTCCTGTTGCAGTCACTCAGAATGCCACCAGAGGGACTTCCGAGTTGATTGAGGCATAATATGCCTCCATCCACTCAGATCTGCTGTGCATGAGCATCCTGTGATTCAGTATCTCCTCCCTCTGCATGCAGACACTGAACTTTCCTCATAGAGATTCATTGATTCAATTCATCGCTATGAGGAGATGCTGATTGGCCAGGGCTGTGTTTGAATCATGCTGGCTCTGCCCCTGATCTGCCTCTTTGTCAGTCTCAGCCAATCCTATGGGGAAGCATTGTGATTGGATCAGGCCACCACTTCTAATGGTGTCAGCAGACTGCTTGTTTTTCCTGAGTTTCAGCATGCAGATTTACAGCTTCTGGCTTGAATACAGTAAGATTTTTACTATATTTATGGAGGCATGAGGGACCCAGGTGGGCTCGATGGTCGTGTTAACACTATAGGGTTAGGAATACATGTAGTTGCACTGGTGACTATAGTGTCCTTTTAATACAAACATGTATTCCTGACCCTATAGCGTTAAAACCACCATCTAGGTAACTACTCCCATCATTCCATCTAACCATTCCTCCTCCTACTCCCATCATTCCATCTAACCGTTCCTCCTCCTACTCCCATCATTCCATCTAACCGTTGCTCCTCCTACTCCCATCATTCCATCTAACCATTCCCCCTCCTACTCCCATCATTCCATCTAACCATTCCCCCTCCTACTCCCATCATTCCATCTAACCATTCCTCCTCCTACTCCCATCATTCCATCTAACCATTCCTCCTCCTACTCCCATCATTCCATCTAACCATTCCTCCTCCTACTCCCATCATTCCATCTAACCATTCCTCCTCCTACTCCCATCATTCCATCTAACCATTCCTCCTCCTACTCTCATCATTCCATCTAACCATTCCCCCTCCTACTCCCATCATTCCATCTAACCATTCCTCCTCCTACTCCCATCATTCCATCTAACCATTCCCCCTCCTACTCCCATCATTCCATCTAACCATTCCTCCTCCTACTCCCATCATTCCATCTAACCATTCCTCCTCCTACTCCCATCATTCCATCTAACCATTCCTCCTCCTACTCCCATCATTCCATCTAACCATTCCTCCTCCTACTCCCATCATTCCATCTAACCATTCCTCCTCCTACTCCCATCATTCCATCTAACCATTCCCCTCCTACTCCCATCATTCCATCTAACCATTCCCCCTCCTACTCCCATCATTCCATCTAACCATTCCTCCTCCTACTCCCATCATTCCATCTAACCATTCCTCCTCCTACTCCCATCATTCCATCTAACCATTCCTCCTCCTACTCCCATCATTCCATCTAACCATTCCTCCTCCTACTCCCATCATTCCATCTAACCATTCCCCCTCCTACTCCCATCATTCCATCTAACCATTCCTCCTCCTACTCCCATCATTCCATCTAACCATTCCCCCTCCTACTCCCATCATTCCATCTAACCATTCCTCCTCCTACTCCCATCCTTCCATCTAACCATTCCCCCTCCTACTCCCATCATTCCATCTAACCATTCCTCCTCCTACTCCCATCCTTCCATCTAACCATTCCTCCTCCTACTCCCATCCTTCCATCTAACCATTCCTCCTCCTACTCCCATCATTCCATCTAACCATTCCTCCTCCTACTCCCATCCTTCCATCTAACCATTCCTCCTCCTACTCCCATCATTCCATCTAACCATTCCTCCTCCTACTCCCATCATTCCATCTAACCATTCCTCCTCCTACTCCCATCATTCCATCTAACCATTCCTCCTCCTACTCCCATCTAACCATTTTAGTTATAGAAGGGGAATAGTTTGACGGTGAAGGGCGCCCCTTGTCTCGCTGCTGGAAAGGTAATACCCCTTAATGACACAGAACACAGTGAGTAAATTTGTGGTGTATAGAGGTACACACATGTGGCCTTTCAGCATTCCAGTGGACACGGGATACATTGTAATGCAGACCTGCAGTGCATCAAGTTCACCCTCACATCTCTGCTTCTGCTGAAATATTAGGTTTTATTATTATTATTGAAATATCTCATTTAAAGATTTCTCTTTGCACCAACAAGCTGTATGGATATCTACACCGGATATGTACACCCCCAGGGGTGTTCAGTAAAGTGAGGAATTAAGGTGAATTCAAACTTCAAATTTAAAGTCAAAATAGCCGAACTGGGAAAGTTCTCAAGGTCAACTCTGCTTTCATTGGCTTCTCTGACTGTGTCTGGAATTCTCTTTGAAGTCTCACTTTGATAGTAAATAGCTCTGTTTTTGGTAACACTTAGTGTGGGTTGAGATATAGATTTACCATTGTCTTCGTAAAGCAGACTCCATGGCTTAATAATGCAGAACTGAAAGGAAAAATGCACTTAAATTTGTAGTCTCGGGGGGCGGGGCCTGACAGCCAAAATGGCCGGACGTGCTCTCTAAGAGCTCTTACACCGGAGGGCACAAAAACGATAATCCTGGCAAGCCGAATTAAGCCAACAGCCCACGGAGTCCAGAAACCGATATAGAACCACACGAGGAACAAAACGGTACAGGTCATGCACCACAGCGACTCACGAGCACATGTACCGGCCATGCGGCCTAAACTGCAGCGGAGCCTGAAGCCTGGGGGAGGCGGCCGATCGCCCGGCAAGGGACCTGCTTGCAAGCGAGAACTACAAGATGCCCAGCTACCCCCCCCTCTGGACCGGCGGGGGATATCCCGGTCCTCGCTGGGGACGATTACCCCCACAGCAAGACACGAACAAGCGACAACACATGCGGGTAAACGGGACTGTCAAGGCCCAAACAAAATGGCGCCACAGGCGCGACAAGCGACAAAAGGCTCCCCTACCAAACCACCTGGTCACACGCTGGACTTCTTTGAACGTCTCTGCACAAGCCTATGGTATGGGCTCCGCAATAGGCGCCGGCTCTTCAAACAAGCGAGAAAAGAAGCGGCGGCATGGATTCGTCCTGCCACCCGACGCCTCTTGAGTGGTTGCCCGACCCGAGTCCCCAGAAGGGCCCTCAGACAGAGAAGAGGCGGGAGTTCGGAAGGGGGGAGAGAGGGGAACGGCTCCCTAGGCTCCAACAACAGTAACCACATATGGCAGCACAAAATAGCCACACACACCCGACCAACTCACCGCCCAGCGGCATCTGAAGTCTCTGACCACTGCAGCATGTACCCACACTCCTGGACGCACGCTGAACACTCATACCAAGCACCTAACACCCCGGGGGCGACCCGACGCCAGCAGCAAGGTACACCCAAAAGACCCCGTCAACTCCTGCACATTCATCGACCTCAAACGGAGATCCAGGGGCACAGACAACGGGGAGCTGTGGGACCACATCTTTCCCAAAGACTGGACCGTGACCTGCCCCTCACAGGCATAGGCTAAGCTGAGCTGACAAGCGGAATTCTTTGGGAATTATTATTGACCAAATATGTTTTTCTTCAGAATGCTGATTTGATTTTTATTTTTTATTTACTTTTTATTTTTAGTTATTGTTCTTTGCATGTGATTATACCAGCAGTCCTGATAGCTGATATATCTCTTCTCCTTTTTCTTGACTCTCGATTGATAATGCCTTTATCTACCACTCCAAGGGGGCCCCCTAGGGTGAGCAAGTAGACAGCCCAGAAATAAGCAACACGTTATCTCCATATCTTAATATGCTGTTTTAATGGTTTAGCACCCCTTTACTGTGGTCATCCCACTGCAGCTCCAGACTAGAGTGCAATTTAAACCCAAGAGCAAGCAGCTCAGACCCATTGTGAGACAGGGAAAATACAGGGAGCATAGTGGGGTATTGGCCTACTTAAATAAGCGTATATTGCATAGCATCCCAAAGTTCTAGCCATATACAAACCTAACCAAAAGTATGCCACCTCACCATAGTTCTATTCGTCCCATAGCACTCAAACCTATACCAGTTCTATAAACCCCTCGCAGTTGGTTTAGCCTGTCTTGAACCCTCGAATAGTTGCCAAACATTATGTACCCAAAGTTATGCATGTCTAACAGTGAACGCTTCTAAATAAGCTATGATTAACAGATACTATCTGCTACTAATCTATGTTAAACACGACTTCATCTCCTAACTAAAAACTGTGCAAGTACCAATGTATACTCCATTGTTCTTGATGTTTGCAAAGCATGCGGATTGCCTTTGGGGTACCCCGTGCACATATGTTATTCCAAATGCACTGCAAAAATAAAGAATTTAAAAAAAAAAAAATTTGTAGTCTCATTCCTCCCATTAACAACACATATAAACGAGAGGCACGTGCTCTGCGGGATTCAACGCACTCTGTGACTAAATGCTCCCTTCACAGCGAGTATTCATCGGACATACAGCTGGTCTGTTTGTAAACCTGAAACCTCACATCAGCGGAAAATTAACTCATTTACATCAAAGCTCATCGGACAAAGAGACAGTTTTTGTTTTACGCGGATGCTCGTCCTACAGCAAGATCTGTCCTGAGGGGCCGTGAATAATCCAATTAAATGCTTAAATAATGGGATATAAGGGGCAGAGGATGAGGCTCCTATTTAGAGAGAGAGACAGCAAGCTGAATGGTCAGTATCCCTCTTTGCTCTCTACGACCCATAACGAGTAGTAAAATACCACAGTTTACCTGCCTGGGGTACATTGTATCATACATCGTTACTTGCTAAATCGACACGTACAGAGCTAAGCACTAAACTAGGAATTGTGGAGAAATTACAAGAATGTTCAGTAAATCAACAATTATTTTACGACAAAAAAAAAAAAAAAAGTTGGAAAAAAATTGTTTAGTTGGGGGAATTTATTCCAGTTTAGCTATATTAACTTTACATTTGTAAGAAGCTGAATGACGGATAACTAAAACAAAGCTTTTATATAACTGGAAAACAGTAGTGATGGTATTCAGAAAGTCCTCTCAGACCAAATAAGACGTTCCACCAATCAGGAACCTCTCGTTTTGGTTTAAGGGGTCTAATTGTATCCCATAAATCACTGCAGCAATATATATATAAAAAAAAAAAAAAAATAATCTGATTATCCTCACGTTAAACTCCCTTACATTGCTTAAAACAATCTATAAGATCTGGACAGACAAGTGGACGGCCATTAACCGCTATCTGGGGTAAAATGCGTCAAGCGGGCTTTACCTAAATTCATAAAATAAGCAACAGAAGGAATGCTGATAGATATAATAAATTGCTCCAAATAATAAGGTTAGACATAGAAATGTAAGCGGCATTGGATACTTTGTGACCAAACTCGGTTATCCTGGTGAATTGGGAATAAATGTACAAAGTGTGCTAAGAGATTGCAGAATATCATTTTGGAAGCATCCAATATTGGGAATCGAAAATGGATGAGACAGCGCTGGTCAACTTGTAGGCAGGAACCTTTAAAAGGGAATCCCTCAAACACCCTTTAAAACAAGATAAATAAAAGTAGCAAATAAAAAAGGCTGTGCCACATAAAATATTAAGAGAAAATAAAGTCCAAGTAATAAAAATGTCCAATTTGTATATCCTTACGAATAGTCTTTATAGGAGGCTGGCACTGTGGTAGGATCTTCAGATATAGTGGTTCCGCTTATATAAAAGATAAAAGAGAAGGACAACCAATAGTGCAATATGTATAGCTCAATTGTGGATGTAATAAAAAAACAATGGTAGAGGACTCACATTTACAAGAGCTTATATCCAGCTCTAGGGTAAAGCGCGTACAGCGGTATAATCCCCACTTATGGGATATGTGGTGGGTACCTCTCCGTCAGTGGTGTCCGGTTCTCAGGAAAGAACAAACAGCCAATAGTGCTCACTGTATAGTAATGGTGGTATAAATTAAATAAAAACGTACTTACAAGTAAAGAGCAGACGGACTGCTCTGTGGTATCAGCATAAGTGGATTAATCCCCACCTAGGATTTCTTGGGATGCAGGAAGCTTCCAAATATTAATAAAACCAGAATGGATAAAAAATAAGATAATAAAAAGCCAGGGTAAAAATAAATACATTGCGTCAGACTGCACCCAATCTCCCAGCATTTTTCTGTACAGGGATGGGGAAAAAAGCTCACAAGAAATCAAGGCCGCCATCCCTCTTTAATGGGGAAAGAACTGAGCAGCTCCTTCTTGGCTGCCTGTCAATCATAGTTATAAATGTTGCCCTTTCTGCCAAGATGATACAAGTCGGAAACACGGTTTCTGTTCTCCTTCTCATTTGCATTGTGTGCCTTGGCTGTGCCTGGACTGGACTGTGATGTCAATTACATCTTTCATATAAAATTGATTCGAAAAGAAACGAAAAAGCAAACCACAAAACAAAATATAATCAAATTAAAAATGTTAACACAAGTTACAGGTGATCTTTAATGTTTTATTAAATGGAGGAATTTATGGTGTTTTAAAACACTGAATTTTTCACCTGGATTTTGTGTAATTGTCCGCTACTCAGGAAGTATATGTTAAACTGGTAAATACAATCAGGAACTTCTAATATAAATGTGCTTGGCAGCTGTTACGGTCTCCGTACGGATCCATCTATGTAAACAAACCCATTTAATCCATTTCACGTCTCCACCACCAACACACTTCGTATTGCGGGTTATTACATTAAATTGCTGCAGCACAGAGAGACGTCGCTACGTTTAGGAAGGGAGAGGATTTCAAACATTAATAAACATAATGCATTGTGTGGAAGTATTGCTCAATTAAACCTTCCTTTCACTTATCGAGTCACACACTTACATACAGTACCCTTTCTAATTTATATAATTTATATTGTATAGAGATTGCCTTTTAACATTTCACCAGGATTGATTCATCGAGCGCTCAGGAAACATTAAAACAGAGCAGTTTTAACTGAATAAATTGCATTTCAATTCCCAGGTACAAGTAACAGTGTTACAAACACTCTCGCAGTTTATATGAAACATAAATGGCCAGCCCCTGGCCCTAAATCCCATCCTGGGGATCTACTGGTCACTTTACAGCTTGGCCCAGCTCAGTTTGTTGGTTCTGTGAGACTTTAATGGGTATTAAGGCCCATGACGGAAAACTTCCCAAACAAAGAAAATAAAATAATTCTACTAACTCCTGTTACTATTCCGGAGCAGAATTGCTTCTCCAACAAAGCATTTTCCACCACCAAAGCGCGGCTAGTTTTGCATCTTGGGTGTTTTCTATGTCTCTGGCCACGGCCCTATTCCACGTGTCCAGCTTGTGCTTTGGTTCTTACTATACACCGGCCACTGTCGTATGATATTCTGGAATAACCAATGTGTCCATTGTGAAGATCCATCAGCACCGCTTTAATTTTAGGTTTGTCAGTGTGAGTCTGTTTGTTGTCTGTATTGATCATGGATGGAAACTTACTGAGCCCAGTGTCCCGTGACCTCTCCTCAAATCAAAAGACCAGCGACAATCTGATGAATACAAGTTTATCAGATCAACCTCCACATGTTGACTTCCATCAATTAAAATATCATTCCACCGTGACCCTTATCTCCAAGCACGGACTGAATTGGCTACACAGCACACCCTGCCCTGGGATTTCATTTTTCCGGGTAAATAATCGGGGAACAGCAAATAATCCCATTTGTTACTGTGTGCCGATAATCACTTTCAACACAACTGCACTGAAAATCCATGTTTTCTTCTACAGCAAATAAGTAAAATATGTTGTCCAATTGCCAAAATTAATGGTTTTAAACTCGAATCACAAAGACTTGTCATGTGGCAAAAACATGCATGATTTCTTCTCAAAGCGGTTCCTAAACTGAAAACCTTCTTTGTTACGGAATCCCAATAGAGAATTTTGAATGTTATTAATAAACATTAGTAGGATTTGATAATTGATTTTCTTTTCCGGTTTATACACAACTTTCTTTGACTTGAAAGTCAATAATAAATTTTATTAGAAGCCCAGCAAGTTCTCCTCCACAGACGAAGAGCGTTAATACTATGCTGGGTTATATTTACTATACACTGATCTTATATCCTCCCTCTCCAATGAAGCAGGATTTATGGAGAATGGATAAGGAAATTGCTACGTTCAGTTTGAAATAACCAAACAAAACACCGGCAGGACTGGAGAAAAAAAAAAGAGAAGATTTTTCATCTATAATTTGATTTTCATTTGTCCATTTCCCGTGCTCATTGTGTGTTTGAGAAAGTCTGGCCCGCATGTCTTTATAGAGAGATGAGAAGGACCAGCAGGTACTAAAGACGTTCTGGAACATAAAACATACATAGAAGAATATGGTCTCTGGTCCCTGCGCCATACATGGTCCGATCCAGTGTCTGTGTGTCTGTCTGCACTTGGCGTATCGGATTGGTGAGCTATCGCTGGCAATAACATGGCTCCAGATCCCACTTCTCATCTAATATATTACAGAAACTAATTAAAGTTACACGTTCTATTTAAATTAAGAGCAGTCTGTCACAATTAGGTGATTAAGTTATTGACAGAAATTCCGTAAATTAAATAATAATTTAGTGAAACAGTATATTAGAGCAGACAGCGGTCTATATCGATGTTATTACTAATAACTTTATTCTCAGGATTAACACTCCAGCTGCTGAGGAATGTCTGCAGATTGTCAGCTGGTTGCTATCAGCCAATCTTCTCAATCCTGCACTGCAGGGCCAAGCTCGGACAGAGAGCTTCGGTTCTCTGCTGGAAGTAGTGGAGGCACAGAGCAATCTCAGGTCAGAAATCATGACAGGCGCACAGTCGGATTTGCCGGCATATGCGCTAACCTTACCCCAACCCCCATTAAAACACGGACACAGGTTATACTGTTGGAAATAATTTGTCCACAGCTTTATTAAATTATTAATAAATAATTAAGGAATAACAAATGGGGTCATTGCCAACAAATCTTAATAATGTTAACCTCCCCATATACATAACATACCCCTAGCAATGACCCCACAATAATAACAATAGATAACAATATAAATAACATGTTAACACAGAAACTGGCCGTCCAATTTGACCACATTTCCACCAGGTTAAATTGTAGGGGTGTACCGAGACACCGCTACCCACCATATCCATTGTAGGGGTGTACCAAGACACCGCTACCCACCATATCCATTGTAGGGGTGTACCAAGACACCGCTACCCACCAGTTCCAGTGTAGGGTGTACCAAGACACCACCACACCCCCAGGTTCGGAGCCACCGACGGGCTCGAACCTACCAACCACGTGCAACACTGCCCAATCCACACTAAACCTCAGGATGCCCACTTTCTCCTCCATCTACCCTCCGATTTAACCAGGCCATTCCCCGCCGCTGTGAAAAAACGGGAAATCAACTAACCTAACCAAATACAGGGAGGGTGGGAGGGACAACTGACAGGTAAGCTTAGGTTCAGTTAAAATGGCCACTTCACATAGTGGCTGGTATAAATACTCCCCTTATGGCTCCGCCCTACCCAGCATGCTAGCTGTCACTAAATTCCTGTGGCTGCTATGCCTACCTCCTGGCTCTGTCAAGGCCTATTCCTCTTAACTGCGCTGATCCATGGGCTACATGACAGGCGCACAGTCGGATTTGCCGGCATATGCGCTAACCTTACCCCAACCCCCATTAAAACACGGACACAGGTTATACTGTTGGAAATAATTTGTCCACAGCTTTATTAAATTATTAATAAATAATTAAGGAATAACAAATGGGGTCATTGCCAACAAATCTTAATAATGTTAACCTCCCCCATATACATAACATACCCCTAGCAATGACCCCACAATAATAACAATAGATAACAATATAAATAACATGTTAACACAGAAACTGGCCGTCCAATTTGACCACATTTCCACCAGGTTAAATTGTAGGGGTGTACCGAGACACCGCTACCCACCATATCCATTGTAGGGGTGTACCAAGACACCGCTACCCACCATATCCATTGTAGGGGTGTACCAAGACACCGCTACCCACCAGTTCCAGTGTAGGGTGTACCAAGACACCACCACACCCCCAGGTTCGGAGCCACCGACGGGCTCGAACCTACCAACCACGTGCAACACTGCCCAATCCACACTAAACCTCAGGATGCCCACTTTCTCCTCCATCTACCCTCCGATTTAACCAGGCCATTCCCCGCCACAGCTCAGGACTTGACACCTAAAGCTCCTGAGCGACCCCCACCACACCGGAATAAGGCCTGTTGAATGCCTTCCTGAAGGCCCAATTTAAACAGATCACACCTTACATCCGAAAATGTACCCCATCCCACCTGGAGTACCCAGGGAGCTTTCTTCCCAATTCGTTGTGTCTCACTGTTACACCGCCCCCACCTCTGATAAATACTGCCATCAATTTTTTATTAAGTCGTCCTCGACACCGAGCTACCACGGCCGGGTACGTAGTATGTCTCCAATGTAACCAAGGAACCATCTCGGACCGCACCACCACCACACCCGTGGCCAGCTCCCATAGCTGGTCCACCTCCCTCTGCCTCCACCTGATCAATTCCTTTTCCGGGACCATGCCAATATCCAGAATGTCCTGGAAAGTACCCTTTGTTACCTCCCGGAAAAATTTCTCCCCTAATGTCTTGCCACCAAAATCCCTGAAAAGCAAAACCACTCCTGCTCCACCAATTTCAAAGGAAAGCCCAGTTACGTTTGAACTGAAACGCGGCTCCCATCTGTGCCCCTTAGATATAAGAATGACCCACCAACCATGTCACCAAACCTGAAACGAAAGTAATTAGCGACACGGCATAGCCCCAAACACAAACCCATACGTCCATAGCCATTAAACCAAATAGACTGGCCTGAAACAGGACTTAAACCGTACTGACTCCCACCTGCCTAAACGTTTCCCTAGGTCCTCACTTAAAACCAGGTGGGGTGCCTCTGTTACCGCCATCACCTGGGAAGAATGGGTCCCAAAGTGCCCGGGATCCAAACCCAACATTGTCAAACACCTGCGGGAATTGAATCGTGACAGCACCGATCTGTCCCCTTTTACCAGTAAGCCACCCGGGATGTCCGGGCAAAGCTCCAAGTAGCATGATGCGCTTAACACCGGGCGTACCCGTGACCCCGGCAGGGAATATAGCTTTACCAAACCTCCTTTACCAGACACATTCGTTCTTGAACAACCCTACTGAATCGTTACCTTAACCGACTAAGGTTCGACAACCAAGTGTAGAACTCCCCAACACCTGCCCGAAGGCACTCACCAGTTCCCCAATCCAAACTGCCCCAAGTCTCCGAAAAGGCCACCGCAAGCAAACTCACTGCAAAATTGGGTAATACACCACCAGGCGTTGCGTTACCCAAGGAAACCCGCCACCGACATATTTCATATCTCTCCGTAAGACCCGCGATGCCTGACGGACGTGACAACGTTCCGTCACTTCCTCCCAATCAGTCAGTTTAAACCCTAACGACAATGCCACCATGCTCCTGTCCCTTGCTGATGGAGCTAACGCTGAACAAACAAACGGCTTAGGAACCACCGCAAGGTATCCCTTCGCCCCTCCTTTGACTGGGCCCCCACAGTGAAACCAACCGCCTTGTCCCACATATCTCAAACGTTCACATAGGCAGTCCCTCTGCCCGGTGCCATAGGATTCTGTATCGATCCTCCAAGCATGGCGTCTCGAAGCGTCCGTAAACAGCCCCACTGCTTCCGAAGACACCACTTGCTCCCGAAAAAAGGCCTTGCCATTGAAGTCCCTCAAAAACGATCCCACACCTCTAAGTCCGCCCTCATGTCCGCGGAAACCCTGATATAGTGTGACGGCATCCGTATCCCGCTCGTCGCCCGCGCCAATCGTCTACAGAAAACCCTCCCCATGGGTATGACCCTGCACGCAAAGTTCAGGCTCCCTACCAGAGACTGTAATCCCCTCAGCGTCACCTTCCGTGCTCTCCCAATTGTGTGCACCAAGTCTTTCAGCTTGCGCAACTTGTCCTGTGGTAATCTACATTCCCCGATCTTCGAATCGATCTCCAAACCCAGAAAACTAAGACACGTGGCGGGTCCCACGGTCTTGTCCTCCGCCAAAGGAACCCCCATCGTCTGCGCTACCCATTGGAACACCCGTAGTATCTGCTTGCACCGGTCTGAGCCTCGAGGGCCGACACATAAGAAGTCGTCCAGGTAATGCACAACCGTGCCCCCCTCCGATTCCCGTCGCACTACCCATTCCAGAAAAGTGCTAAACTTCTCGAAATAGGCGCACGAGATGGAACAACCCATCGGCAAGCACAGATTCACAAAGAAGCCCCCTTCAAAACAACACCCCAAGGGTGATGACATGACGGGTGTATGGGAAGCAGCCGAAACGCTGCCTCCACGTCCACCTTTGCCATCAGCGCTCCCCGCCCAGCTCTCCGTACCAACTCGACTGCCCTGTCAAATGATGTGTAAGATACTGAACAGAGTGCTGCGTCGATGTCATCATTCACCGATGACCCTTTAGGATACGATAAATGATGAATCAACCTAAACTTGCCAGCCTCTTTTGTGGGGACCACTCCAAGTGGGGATATCCGCAACTCCGCTATAGGAGGATACGGGAACGGCCCCGCCATCCTCCCCAAAAGGACCTCTTTGGCCATCTTTTCCCGCACTACCTCCGGGCGTTCCCGCACAGATTTAAGATTGGCACAAACCGCCCCTGGTTCCTTAACCGTGAAGGGGATCACGAAGCACTCCCTAAAACCCCGCCACAGGAACGCTGCATCCTCCTGGTTAGCGTATTGCCTTAGCCAAGGCAACATCGCTCCTAACCTCACTGGGGACGCCCCCAGTTGCAGCCGAGGTGGCCGCCACCCCTGCGGTTCCACCCCCTGCATTGAGCTTACCTTTCTTGAAGCATCTGCTGGCGCCGTGACCCTCGTTGTACGTCCAGCACAGGCCCTTCTTTTGTCCCGCTGGCACAGCCACGCCTGAGGCTGTCCCAGCTGCCCCGAGAAAGGGCGCAGCCTTCTGCGCCATCATAATCCTCATCCATAGCGGCAGGTCCATTTGGTCCCACCGCATGGTAGGGTTGGCCGCCAAGCGTTGCCGAAACTGCTCATCATATTTCCACCACGCTAGGCCCCCATACGTCCGATACGCATCGCCTATCCCATCCAAGTAGCAGAACAGTTGCGCACAGTTCCCTGGCCTTTTTTTTTTTTTTCCCTATCACACTAGCCAGGATGCAGAACGCCCTCAGCCAATTCCCCAAAGTCTTCGGTATCTTGCGATACCTCCGCCTTTTTTCTTCTTCCTCCTTCTTGGCGTCCTTCTTATCCTCCTCCTTCAAGTCTAGGAATTCCTCCAAAGGGAGCAAAGAAAAATTTTCCATGAACTCCCCCTTCCAAATCTTTTCTTTAACCTCTAATTTCAGGTGACAACCTAGGGGGCCCGCAAAAGATACGTGTACGTTTTGACGTGCCGCGTCCGAAATGTCGCCACACCCGACCGCCGACTCAGCCCCCCCATCCGCCGCACCGGACGCCACTACCGCTTCGCTTACCTCGCCTCCGCTCGCCGGTTGGACCCCCGCCCCTATTGCCTTAACCGCCGTGTCAGGGGACCATACCTTTCCGAACTGTAATGGTGATTCCCCCTTCCCTGACCATGCCTCCAATAGTGTTTTTAAATAGCCCAATAACTGTCCGGAGTGTTGTGCAGATATGGACTCACCGTTGGAGACCCCGGCCGTGCCAGGCTCCGGGGTTGCCGACCTTCCGTCCACCCGTTCAGGCTCCGGAGCATTCGGTTGACGCCGACTCCCATCCGCCTGATCCCTCCTCAGGACCGTAGGGGTAGTGCTCTGCGACCTGTAAGGAGAAGACAACCTGGGTAGTCTGTACTGCTGGGCCCCTACCCGTCCTTCCTCCCTACGCTCTTCTCCGCAATTCCAAGCTTCGCACCGCCTTGCCGGCCTAGCTTCCCTGCTCCTGGGGGGCCCGCTGCTGTCCTAGTGCACTGTCACCCGATGACCCAGATGCACTGCGCCGCCTCCGCCCCCGCCCGTCCTTGGACGCGGACCTCCTTCTCCCCGCCCTGCAGCTGGTCCTGGAACCACTGCGCCTGCTATGCGATGGACTCCTGTCCCTGCTCCACTGCCGATCAGCTGACCTCCTGCTGCTGCCGGGCCTGGCGCCACCGCTGCGCCGCTCCCGTCTGTACTCCTCCCGCTCCCTGGTCCTGCTGCGGTGCCCCCCGTGAGAGCAGCCTGAGGGGCCCAACCTTCCACTGCTACTGCTCCTGACTTCCCTATCCCGCGCTGTACTGCGTGTGTCCCCTTTCTCCGCTGTACCTGGCCATCTGTTGGCCGCTGCGCCTGGCTCAGATGCCCCTTGCACCCCCTGGCAGCCCGCTGGAACCTCTGCCGCTCCCTGTCCGATCCTGCCGTCCCTCCTCCCTATGCCTGGCACTGTCGCCCGTCCCGGCCACACCTAAGGCCGCCCGCGAGCTGGTCCCGCTGACCAGGCCACCCCTGGGTTGCTGGGGGGCCGCCTGCGCTGGAACATCCCGCGTCCCGCCCGCCCCTCAGTGACCAGAGTGGACTCACCGGGACGCCTCACTGAAGTGCTGCCGACCACGTGTTCCTCCGCTCTCCCGGCCGCCATTCCCGCCGTGCTGGAGCCCTCCTCTGGGGTTCCTGTGCTGCCTGCCGCCATCTTGGGTGGGGCGCGTTTACCAGCAGGCCCGCGCTTCGTGGCCGTCCTCGCCTGACCGGCACCGCGGCGCCGGCCGCTTCCCGGTGCTGTCCGACCCTCTTGCCTCCTGGCTGGGTGCCGAATCCATACTGCTGATGGGAGTGATCATGTAGTAGCAGCTCATTCCAGCCTCTCCTGTCCCTCCATGCTGTCTCCTGTCTCAGTACTGCCTGTTCTCCATACTGCTGATGGGAGTGATCATGTAGTAGCAGCTCACTCCAGCCTCTCCTGTATCTCCATGCTGTCTCCTGTCTCAGTACTGCCTGTTCTTCATGCTGCCTCCATGCTGCCTGTTCTTCTATGCTGCCTCCATGCTGCTGATGGGAGTGATCATGTAGTAGCAGCTCACTCCAGCCTCTCCTGTATCTCCATGCTGTCTCCTGTCTCAGTACTGCCTGTTCTACATGCTGCCTCCATGCTGCCTGTTCTTCTATGCTGCCTCCATGCTGCTGATGGGAGTGATCATGTAGTAGCAGCTCACTCCAGCCTCTCCTGTATCTCCATGCTGTCTCCTGTCTCAGTACTGCCTGTTCTTCATGCTGCCTGTTCTCCATGCTGCCTGTTCTGCTATGCTGCCTCCATGCTGCCTTCTCCCTCCAGGGCAGGCAGCTTTCACAACTGACAGGTAAGCTTAGGTTCAGTTAAAATGGCCACTTCACATAATGGCTGGTATAAATACTCCCCTTATGGCTCCGCCCTACCCAGCATGCTGGCTGTCACTAAATTCCTGTGGCTGCTATGCCTACCTCCTGGCTCTGTCAAGGCCTATTCCTCTTAGCTGCGCTGATCCATGGGCTACAAAACTATCCTAAAAACAGTTGGCGGACTTAGAAGGGGCAACGGGCACCATAACCACAACCGAACACTTGGAGTGTGTCTTTAAGATACGCTACAATAACAATTTACCCAGTTTGGTTGAATTTAGAAAATTCGCGACAGCCGCATGCTTTATGCATAAATGATATCCACCAATATACTACATAAAAACCGGAGGGGGAAATCCCAAATGAACAAATTTATTAGAAAAATTTGTTTAAAAAATATATATTTTTAAATGCGAGAATATATCATTCTGCTCTTTTACCTTAGCACATTGTAATGATAAAAAAAAACATTTACTAAAAAAAAAAAAAATTATATATATATTTTTCCCCTTTCATTTTCAGTGCAGTTGGATTGTTTGTTGCCTCCACAGTTACTGTAAATACAAAGAGAGGAATAAGGAATATTAATATTAATAGACGGAGCCCGCTGTTCCTGGAGACCCCTATTGTGGTGTTCTAGGCACTCGCGATGCTCTGATATTTTCGCTATTTTTGAAGAGTCTCTCGAGATGGGAGTATTAAATGACTCGCGGCCCCACGTTCTTCTGAAATTTCCTCGACACATAGTGTCCAGCAGTAATAGCTTTCAATAGGCTCATTTTCCCTCCAGACGGCGTCTAACAAGTAGAATTTCTGAATTCTTTTACAAGGATCCAATCTATAATATAACTCTCTTTCTTGATTGCATTCGGAAGAACATTAACAGCCGAAGTGCAACTACCCCACCGGCAAATCTCAAAGACATGCCTGCTGATGGCACTAGGATCAAATTATATAATACAAATAATTTATCTCCCTTTAAGCTTAGAGAGGCCATTACCATGAAGGTGTCAGAGAGAGCTTGATGGAAAGAATCAGTAGCGGAGTTATAGGATTCTCCGGGTGTTAAAGTGCTAATAACCCCTAAATTATTAGCAAGTCTTCGCACCCTACAAGCTCGAAACCTGTGGATTAAACGGACAAAGCAATCACAGTGTCTGTAACCAGCAAGACATACCGCACCGTTTAATGCTACATTTAAATGGAACAGAGAGTCACAAACCCGGACCGATCCACAACTTGGAAATACACTGCCCAATGGTATACCAAATGGTGGGTTCCATGAGCAGGGCACCAAGAAGAGTCACGTTAGGGTTGAAGTGGTGGACGTGGCTTGTTAAACATGAACCTAGAGCCATAACAGTGTCCAATTCATCTGGTTACAAATACTTCTCTGTTAGTCCACCCACTGTACAGCGCTGCGGAATATGGTGGCACTAATAATAACAGTACATTGTGATAAAAATTAAACGAGGCTCACTAGACCCAACACAAAGTGGGAATGGAGACGTATCCATTTTTTTTGCAGTTTGGGCCGGTTTGTAGATAATGCAGGACAAATTATATTGATATTCCTTGCAGTATTAGGTAATAATGACTATTAATATATTTATAACTAGAGATTTACTAAAAGCAGTGTTTGCAGCGATGCACAGAGTGATTTTATGTTACGTCCTTTCAGTCAGTGCATCTAGATCCCCCTGGCGCAGCTATTACCGCTCTGGTTCTAGATTCTCCCGGTAATTAAAACCCCAGAAAGCAGAAGAGATTTTGGGAGAGGATCACGGTTTAAGATCCAAAGCAGCACAATGAGAGGAAGATGATGTATTTATACCTGTACAGGACATACTTATGGCCAATTACAGCAACACTGCAAATTCATCTCTACATCGGAGGAGGCCGAAAACAATTCCTTTAAAATGGTTAAATGCAGGAAACGAGAGGAAATCATCCCCTTGGGGCATATTCACTAAACAGCAAACTGAGTGGGACATAATGTGGGGTATATTTTTTATATATATTCGTAGAATGACTTATTACAGGGAGGTTTTCAATTAACTATAAATAACTGTTTAGTCAATAAAGCACAAGACATTGGACAGAATTCAGTGACGCAAAAGAATAAAAAATAAATAAAAATAATGCCATTTACAAAATGTATAGGAGGAACGTTTCATTTCTAGATATAGATTTTAGTAAATAGCTGCACAGCTCTCCTCCCGCCCAGAGCTCCCTTCACCCAGAGCTCTCCTGGGATCGTGATCAGTCTCTCTGCATAAAGCAGAGACACAGTAAATATCTGATATCTGCCCTCTTATTGTAAAACGTCTGTGTCAAAACGCATCATGCACAATAACAGATCAGGCTATATTAAATCGATAGAACAGATCAGGCTATATTAATCGATAGAAGAAGAACAGATCAGGCTTTATTAATCTATAGAAGAAGAACAGATCAGGCTATATTACATACAGGCGCATTAATAGGAATACCCAAATTACAAAGCTTGCCCACTGTTTTGTATAACACACTGCCACGCACAAGGCTATTTATAGAACAGAGAGAGTCACTGAATATCCAGAATTCCCATTAACCATCTCTGGCTGCGCATGTTGGGGGTTGTTAATATAAACACATTAGAAGTGGTCTGGGTGCAGTGGTTCTGGATATTTAACCCTTCGAGGTAAACCATTGCTGTGTTTACATTGCGGGGTGAAACACACCTCTGTCATACTGATAGCCACGAGAACCACGAGAGCCGCTTCCACTGTCCAGACCGGGATGATCTGTGTTACTCAGTCAGTGCAGTGAAAGTGGTTATTGTGAATTCAAAGCATTCCTATGAGACGTATTGGATGCATGTCGCGGCAATATTGGGCCATTGCTGAAGGCGCCACGTCTTCTCGATGATGTTGCAGTGGGTGGAGTCTCTGTGCTGGAATAGGGGTAGTAAAAACTTTCATTTTCTTAATTTTAAAATGGATGGGGGGACCTGCATCTAACTATGGACCGGGGGTGCTGTAACATTAGGAAGGAATACAGGTTTGTAAAACCAACGCTATTATGTCCCTTTAATATTTATACCCGTTTGCTAAACAGAGAAAGTTTCACAATCTACTTTTATTTTCAATTTTATAGAAACAAAAAACACAACACAAAAAAACTGCACACAACAGACAATAATGAAGGCAATATTTATTTTTAAAGTACCCTTACGGTCATAAAAACAGCACAATCCACGAGAATTAAAGCCATGTGTGATTTGAAGTCCTCAGCTGAACTCCAGCAATCAAATTTGGAGTATTTCGCATAAATGAAAATATGTCAATAACATGCAATAATTGTGAAATGTTATTATGTGGCAATCATGTCCAGTATTAGCAGAATATAAACCAAAGCAGTTCAGTTGTATCCTGAAAATAATAAATTCTCCTCATTCTGTTGCTTTTGCCTGAGGTGTCCGACTATCACGCTAATTTGTGAAATTGGTGGATTTAATCCTGTGTGCCGTGGCACTGGTCTGTACTGAGCCACGAACATATCGAGTACGAAGGACTGAATACAATCCTTAATTAAAATGATAAAATAAGTCAGCTACAGGAACGCTTTGCAAATCATGATATCTCACATGTCTAACAGAACAGGTGAAACATTGGTCAGATTCAGGATAATGAAAAAAAAAAACCACACTTCCTGAGAGCCTTGTTCTAATAAATCACAAACTGCACGTGGACACGCTCACTCATTTTGTATTTAAGGAAAAGTTATCTTAATAGAAGGACTGTCACTCAGCTAGTGCCCTCCCCTCCTTCCATCACCCTAATGAGTATTGAGGAGTGCAGCAGAGGGAGAATAAAAACACTTACCTCCCAAGTGTCCCTATTTAGGAGGAACAGTCCCTATTTTGGGCGCAAATCCCTCTGTCCCTCTTTTCTAAGAGCTCCATATTGTTGGTGTGTCTGAGTGTATAACAGAGCTCACAGTAATAATACTCCCAGTAATGTGTCTGGGTGTATAACAGAGCTCCACAGCAATAATACTCCCAGTAATGTGTCTGTGTGTATAACAGAGCTCCACAGCAATAATACTCCCAGTAATGTGTCTGAGTGTATAACAGAGCTCCACAGCAATAAAACTCCCAGTAATGTGTCTGAGTGTATAACAGAGCTCCACAGCAATAATACTCCCAGTAATGTGTCTGAGTGTATAACAGAGCTCCACAGTAATAATACTCCCAGTAATGTGTCTGAGTGTATAACAGAGCTCCACAGCAATAATACTCCCAGTAATGTGTCTTTAAACTACAATAAATGTGTTTAGAAAAATGAGTCTGTGTAAATTAGATACATTGCTCTTATTATAACTTACATTTTAGTTTTATAAATTGTTATTAGTAAATCACCTAAAATGTCTTAAACCAGCCTGCCCCTGGCCACACCCCCACTCAGACCCCTATAATTAAAGTGTCCCCTCTTTGTCCATGTGAAATGTTGGGGTGGGGGGGAGGCTGCACTTCCATGTGTCTGTGCTTCCATTTTCCCATGATGCTGTGCAGGACTAATGCATGCCCGTGCATTTTGTGCACAGCGCCAAAACGAATGGCGCCATGGTGGTTAAGGGTTAATCAGATTATCATAGTATATAAAGTACAGCAGCAGACAGTAGGGAGAACAGTCACAATTAACACAGAGCCATTAAGAAATTACACAACACAGAAATCACATTCTATCAAGAAAACACGTGTCGTTTAAATCATCGCAGTAAAATAAAGTAATGTAGAACGAATGGACGCTCACAGAGAGTTTTGTTTGTTTTCAAATAAAAGTCACAATTTAAGTAAAATGGGTCACTTTGGCGTCATGTGGAGGAGGTATGTAGTCATTTGCCATGCTGACGTCATTAATTGTAAATTGTGTTTCGATAGTTATGTTTTATAAGTGCATCAAATGGCATTCTCAAAATTATCTGGAACCCTGTTCTACACGATGTAACACTCCGAAGCTTAAAAAAAGTCATTGCCATTTTTTATTTAACTTTCTTTCTGGTTTTAAAATAAATAAAATACATGTATATACTTACACCCAATAAAGTAAAGTAATAAATTAGAAAAGCGATATGAAAAGAAACGGTTTGCTATACAACTAAAAGCAACATTATTACACACACGAAAAAAGACAACGGCAAAATAAATTATAACCGCTATAGTCCTCATGAAATAGAATATTTAGAAAAAAAATCAATTCTACTATAATAAATATGACAGACCCCGACTCTTTTTAATCCAATCCAACGTGTCTCATAGAGAAGCACTGGAGACCTTTGGCGCATGCGCGGTAATGTCTACAACCTACCAATGGGTTCTACGCTAGCAGTGCTCCACATAGGACCCCAACATCAGGACAGTCCCACAAAATCAGAGATTTTTGGGGGGTGCAAATGTACGAGCTCCCAATGTATATTTGTATTTTCTTTTAATAATTGTGGTTTTGCATAGATTAGTACATTAGCTAGAACATGTTACCTTCGGTCTCCCCAGTCTCTTAATCTGAAAAAAATTATTATTTGACTAAAATATATTTATCCCCCCATTTGCTTATTCAGAAAAGAAGACATAGCATTAACATTATCTCTATAAAACAGAAATATTAAACCTCTCGGGGTAATGTTTGAGATTTTTCTAAAGTAAGTACATTTCATAGCTCTGTTCCTTTAACCGGCAAGTACAAAATAATCTAATTAATATTAATGTAGTTCGTTCGGGAGCAATGGAGAATATTAAAGGGACACTGTAAGCACCCAGACCATTCTAGCTCATTGACGTGGTCTGGGTGAACTGATCGTGAGAAACTCCAATAATTACATTGCAGGGCTGTCAGACTGCCACTAGAGGCACTTCCTGCTTGTCAAGGGACTTGATCTGCATGAGGACATTCAGTGTCAAACTCCCATATGAAAGCATTAATTGAATGCGTTACTATGGAGAGGGCCTAATGCGCTCATGGCGTTCGCCACGGATGTACATTAGCGCCCCCTATTGGATGAGTTTGGAGGGGGTGTATCACCAACCCAGCAAGCGTTGAGGGAGATTGACGTTGGAATTGGGTAAGTACAGTAAGGGTTTATTATCCCTTCCACTGGGGGGGGGGGGATACACGATGGAGCTATGGTGCCAAGAATACAACTTGTATTCCTAATACTATATTATCCCTCATAGATATAGAGTAAATTTAGTAAAACGTAATGAATATTTGACACTCTTAAAAAGGGGAAAAATAAAACTGTCAGTCTTGTATACAATTAGTAACTTTTTAAAACATGAATTTTGCTGTATGTAGCATTCATATGCATTAGAAAGGAGATTTTAAGATTCCTTCTTGACTGCATTAAAGCCTGCTGGATTATTTTAATGATTTCCCATCAAAATACTATCTGTCGAGGATCGGGTAACCCAAGGTATCCCCCATCCCATACCCTAAGGGGTTTATTCACTAAGCTGCGATTGGGGAGAACTGCCTGAGGAATTGTAAATTTCACATTGAAACAATCAAACTGGAAGAATAGCTGAGTTTGAGAAATTTTCCAGTTCCGTTAGCCAGAAATTCCCAATTCTGCTCCAGCTAACAGAATAGCCCTGGTGGGTTTATTCCCTCACACATCATTGAGGGTGTCACCAGCTATAAAACCAGCGATTCCTGAAGGATTTGCTGCCAATCTTCATAACTCACGGCTTGGGAATAGATCCCACCGGACTCTCAGCATACTGTCCATCAATCATTATTAATACCATGTTATATGGGCATCTAATAACCCTTAACCCATTCTACGCCAGTCTTATAGAGCTTGGAAATCTGGATTCTAATTGGCAAACGTACCACTATGTCACCGTGTGCATCTGTTTAATGAGGGGATTAGGGAACTCCTGCTAGATTACCATACCAGGGTTTCCAGACCCAGCGTTTTCTCCTAAACGCATCATTTATACATATTGCACCGGGGCCAAGAAACGAGATGAAGCCAAGTTGTTACTCAGGGAGGAATCCTCCAGCGTCTGAATGCTACATACCGCAGGGAAGCACCTTTCATGTACCGCCCATCACTACGCACAGCTGATACCTGTCCGGGGGAACAATGAGGATCCAGTAACCAAAAACAATATCCATGGCATGCCATTGGTCAGTAAAGATTTAAGGAAAATATAGGTTAATTATCTTAATTTAGAGAGTTCTTCTTCCTATTAATTCATCACAAACAGCAGATTCTGATGTCAATCACGTGAATCCTACGCTCACAAATAGCAACCAATAAGCACAAAGCAGTAAATGTAGAGATTTATGTAACTCCCTAAATTCTCAGTGTGTCAGTATTGTACTGTATTATTATAATAACGAGCGTTATTCAGATATCTGGCTAAAACCAAGAGAATTATTCTAACCTACAGAAACCGCCAGATATGACATCACAGGGACCCTGGCTTCTCTCTGCGGTTAATGACTTGGCTCTTTTCATTAAACATCAAATAATGGTAACTTGAAAACAAGACTGTAAAATGCAGGCCAAAAATACACAAGACAAAAATAAAAAAATATTATGATCTTTGTTTTTTCCCCTCAAAAAACAAAACAAAACATTGATTGGCAGTTATTAAAAAAAGATTTCATTTGCAAAAATGTAACTTGAATTTAAGTTGGTGAAAATAACCCCTGAGTGTATGAGACTCTGCAGTTATTTAGTAACAATTCACTGTGTAATAAATACTCCCCCTTCCCCCCCCCACACACAGAGCAATCACCAGTCAGACCTAGGGGGGTCCTACTTATAAAGCCCCCTCAATGGTGAATTTCTGTTCAATTACTCTCTAGCAACCAGTTACAATCCAAACCCCTTCTCCCATAACTGATTCATTTATTGGCAACAGGATATTTGGAGAATGATAAACCCCAGCAGGAGCCATTAACTCCTTCATCCCAGAAACTGGTCAAATTCCAATTATGATCAGGACATGCCTGGCATGGGAGTTAAAAGGGTTAGGTAAAAAAAAAGCATGATTTAATAAGAACATTTCATGTATTGATAAAAATTCTATAGAAACACACAAACCAATTAACTAAGTGAATGGGTAAACTTTGTATGAAGCCAATAAATCACTAATCCAAGCAGGATTAAGGGTGTGCTAAAACTCACATAAAGTCCTCTTAGATTGCAAGCTCTTCTGCCTAGCAGGCTCCTTGTACTGATTTACTTAGAGTAAAAAAGCTCAGACAGGACTGAGTTACTTACCCAGTAACAGGGTCCAGAGTGCCATCTGCATGATAAGAATGGAAGTAGGGAAAGCCATGCCAACATGTGGCACTGCCAGTCAGCTGTGCCAGGGATACAGTATCCACTCTGATTCCTGCCTCAGCAGCTCTTGCACTGATCCTGCTGTCTGAGAGCCTCTGCTTGCTTATAGATAGATGTACACCTCCCCAGACTGCCAGTCTCTGTCAGGTCCTAAAGCCCTCACCGTTTGCATCCCAGCCCTTCTAGGACCAGCAGGATTGGAATTCAATAACATGATGGGGGTAGCCCTTTAAGGATTGCAGTTTATTCTGACACCATGCATTGCTGCTCACTTTACAGACACACCAATTATTAAAAACAAATAAACTCTGCACGGGTCCCTCTCATTCCTGAATGTCTGTCGGTTTGCACAGGGCTCGAGTTTTATAAATAAAATGGAATTTAATTATTCTGCCTCATAGCACTTTAGTTCAATACGAATGGATGGGAGGTGTAAAGTCAGATTTTAATGTTGGAAGCAAAACGTGATTTCAGGGAGATCTGCAAGGCCATTCTCATATTAGATTGTGAGCTTATATGAGCCGAGTCATCTCCAGGTCTTTTCTCGGTCAACACAACTTGTTTTATATTAATTTTTTATTACTAATATTGCACCAACATATTTCACAGGATTTTACAATTATAAAAGGGGGTTTATACAAGTACATGTAATTGACATAAACAGACAAGAGGTGAAGAGCTGACAATCTAGGAGGATTTGAGGTAGGTGAGTGTAGGCCCCATAGTCCAGTCACAATGTCCTGCCCATGGACACTAACCGGTGAGTGGGACTGACCGGCATTTAAACCTGGGATTCTCAGTTCTAAGACCGTTACATTATCACTGCATTACTATTGGCTTTCTATCGCTGCTATTAATAACTAAACTCAGAATTTCCATTGGTGAATTTTGTCCACCGTGGGATATTTGGGCCAATAATTTGACATTCTGTTCCCAATTTTTCAGTTGCCATTTTAGCAAACAGACTTGTCTTCCAGTCTACAGGCTCCGTAAATAGTGATCTTTGCAGATATAGTATTAGCAGTGCAATGCTTTTAGTGAATGGCGGTTAGCAAGCTGAGGAACATCACGACAGCTGTGCTATTTGTCTAATTGAATTGATAAAAAAAACATCTGGATTCAGTGCCTGCTACTTCAGGTTCCATTCAAGTCGAACACATGGGGGGAAATAACTCAATCAGACTGAGTCATCGCTCGCTTCCCGAGGACAGACAGCGCATGACAATCCGCACTCCAGGCAAACCATTCCATTCCAGTCATTTTAGAAGAGAAGGATAACAATGGATTTGACAGCAATGTCTGTAGAAATAGTGGGGGAGCAAAGGTGCAATTATCTCCGCCCAATAAAATGTAAAATTATTTTCTGTATTTTTAAAAAATTTATCAATAAACTTGCCGCTCATAACCCTCTTTGTTGATCATGTGATTGTAACGCAGATAACGGTTTGATTAAATAAAGCAGTGTTTATTTATTGCATGCTCTCCTTCAAGTTAGTATATATGTCTACGTATATATCTACATAAATGAAAGTCTCAGGCACTCGCTGTCCAGCATTGTGGGTTTTGTGCACCTTTCATTATATTTTAGAGTCCCAGCATTGTACGTGTATATCTGTCTGTCCATCCTTCAGCAGTCAGTGCTAAAGGTGTAGAGAGTGGTGGTATTTGCAGACTTTATATTATAATTTATTCTCCTTCTGGCCGCCGACTAGCATTAAGTGATTATATATTAGTGTAGCTGTGCCTGAGATGGAAATTTGTCCTCAAGAACTGGTTGAAATCAAGAAAGATTTGCATTTTTCAGACTATGTTCTTTGTATCTCAAATAGCTGCTAACAAAAGTTTCAGTCTTAACACAGTTTAATTAAAATGAAATCTTTGGTATTACAAAATAAAGACAAAATACACAACTCGCTACCTTGGGCCTCCCACCAGACGCTCTGCAGCAACCAAACAACCCCTCCAGACCACATGTATGGAACCCAGCTAACTCTGAGACTTTCGTTCAAAGGAGTTAACGGACAGTGGCCGGACCTGAGTGCCCTTAGCGGGCCGACCGAGCCGCACCACGCACACTATTGTGGGACATATGTAAATAAGGTTTAACTATTCGGTTATATTTTTGCCTACACTGTTAGTCCACACCCTAGCCGCGGGCACCCCGCATTATTTTGCACCTCTTCACCCTACTCAGTTGTCAACCTTAAGTTGAGTTACAACCTGATTAAGCACAAGCCCTAGTGGGCTGGTTGGGACCGTTACCAGAAAGCACCTTATGTGACCCAGCATCTACACGGTTCCCCTGGCAAAATTCAACCTTACTTGGCCCATCAACATCCACACCACAGGGGCCGATATGCCCACGGCATGTATTTGTTTTGCTCTGCTCAGTTTTGTTTATGTTTTAAAAATTTTGCGCCATATTAACGATTGTACTTAACTCTTAGTATTATACGGCAATGTTTTTAATGGGGCGGAAAGGTTTAGACAAGGGAGCGATGACATTTGACGTAACAATTGGTATCGACCCTAAGCTACTGTTTCTTCGCATTTAAGCAGCTCATTATGACAGAAGGAGTTACAGCATGTACCTAGCTTGAACAGTTAAATAACAAAGTGCGTTAACACTGAATGCCCAGGAAAGCAACTGTCTTAGCATTTACTAAACCCTGACGTTTGACCTAATCTGCGCATGAACAACTCTGACTTGAGGCTGATATACAGGGCAATATAGCTACCACTACCCTATATGATGAACAATGTATAGAGCCCTAATGCGTTACTGAACCGAGCCCTGTGTATAGCACACTGTCTGAATCAAATAACATACCCAATGGGTAGGCATGTTTTGTATTTGAGCACTAACCTATCGCAACCTACTAGCTTCCCTTAAAAATTTGTGCTGGTTTACGAATGCCATAATGATGTCTTTCTCTACTGTTATTATTGTACTTGCCCATGCTGTCGTGGCTGTGCAAGTCCTTTTGTTATAACATGCACAACAAAAATAAAGAATTTAAAAAAAAATAAATAAATAAATAAAAATAAAGACAAAATATAGGAACCTATTTATTTTACAAAGCTAGACCAACAACCGCAAACCTTTGGCATTTGTGTATGTCCATTCTGCAGGCCGAGCATCGACGGACGGAATGTATTCTAGAAAGCCTGGAGAACCAAAAATGAGCCATTGCCAGCACGGGCATGTAAATAAAACTCGTTATTTTCTTTATAGAACCAACTGATTAAAACAATGCAGGTTATCAGAATAGATACATTCATTTTCCAGTGCCTGGAGGAGTGACATTTTATTTTAATTAATATTTAAATTATGCAGATAACACATTCGGCTTCAGCTAAGTATTGAATGAAACCTGTGCAAATAGCTTCTGACGGAGTTCCAGGTGTTCTCGGTAATGCCCACTAGAACCCCCATGGGTCCCCCAACTGCACTTTATTATTGCATCCAGAGGTGTTCCTGGGGGGGAGTGGGTGTAACGGACCCAGGGTAACCCGACTGGTTACCTCAGCTAATTCCCTTCCTTCAGCCAGTCGGGAGCCACTTACAAGGTAAAGATACCCATTTCACCGCCAGTAACTGGAAAAGACCTAGTTCTGGATGTACAACACAACTTTATTGACCACACCCAGCTTTTATGCATACACCACACACAAATAAAGACACATCCCACAATCCTCCCCCTCCCCGAGGTCCCAGTGCGGGAAAGGACTCCGTTCTGTTTGTCCCCATAGCCCGCCACTAAATCTCCAGGGTTCACCACACCAACCGCCAGGGGTCTCCTTCCCAAGAGCCTCTGTGCCCGGGAGTCCAGGCGCGGAAAAAAGGGACCATCCTTTGTCTCCCAGGCACAGAAAAGAGCTGGTCTCTTTGTCCCTCTGGCTCATGAGAGCCCGCCAAACTTGCCAGTGCTCTATAACTCCCCACACCAATCTCAGGGCTTCTCGCCTCAGTCCCTCGATCGGCTAGTCTCTGTTCGCGAGGTCCTGGTGTAAAACCCAGACAAGGGAAGGGTCTCCTTTCGGGGTACAAATGCTCCCCCTGGATGGTGCTTGTATATACGAAATGGCGGCCACCCAGGGAGCACTCATTAATTACTTCCCTTGCAGTTTCACACTTAGGTTGCAAGTAAGAACGTTCTGATTAATTGGTGCGAACGTTCTAATGGGGCACTAGGGAGGTCCAAATTTGGGAAACAATCCACGAATGCTCCCCCTTGGCTGGCGTTTGTCTGTATGAATGGTGGCTGCCCAGGGGAGCGCTCATTAATGGTTTCCCTTGCGATTTGATACTTATGTTGCGAGGTGTGAAGGTTCTAAACTAACATTCTACTTGAGGTATTGGGGTGGTCCCTGTTCGGGAGGTGAATGATTTCCCTTTGTGGAAGCACCCCTGAACGGGGAGCGGGCACAATAAACGAAATACAGAGAAAACACACACATTACAGGCAGGAACCACAGGAACCGGCAGTGGTTTCATCACAGGGGCTTTCTCTACACTTGTTGGAGGAAGCAGGAGAATATTCGTGTTTTTTTATTTTACATTTTATATCTAGTAGCGGCTTGTTACAAATAGAAAGATTGGTAGTATAGTGCTTCTTCAGGCTGCATAACAGGACAGGGTGCTGCCCCCGGGAGACAGTCATAAGGGAGGACGGGGTAAAAGGACTCTGCTGCACCATCCTGTTAGTTGCACTGAATGCCTGGATGTGCAGTATGTGCTTGTTTCAGTGAGATCCCGGCCAGTAACAGCCGCACACAGTGCACACAGGACGGGACATATCAGGACGCATCCCTCGCTCTCTATCAGAGTTGGGGTCATCAAGCATTCCTTGGGCTCAAGCCTCAGTTGTTTCTGATCTGGTAAAGTCCCTGATCGTATCTGCGCTGTCCACATCCACGCCAAAAACATTTTTGTTTATCGAAAATGCTTAGGGGAAACACCGCAGGCATTGTGCTTAGAAAGAAATGAGATACAAAACATTTCCCAAAAATCAAACAATCCTGAATAGTGATACATAATGATACAAGTGATTAACTAAACTGAGAATTCAA